TTAAGTAATATTCAGCTGAATAAAAAATAAATTGTAAAATATTCAGTACTGTGAACACTTGATAAATGCTGATAACGCTAAATATATAAATCTAACATTTGTACAACCCATATTTATTTTTAGTCTCATTTTCATTAAATTAGAGATTCAACGATTATAGATTTTGGTTCTATGATTAGTCTGAGAAATAGTCACGGTTTCACGATTATTATGCATTAATTAACTTCAAAACACTACTAGTTTAGAAAATCATCTGAACTTATCTATATAATATTAATGAACTAGGCAGTTTAGGGTAATTAGGCAAGTCATAGTATAACAATGGTTTGTTCTGTAGACTATTAAAAAATATATAGCTTGAAGGGGCGAATAATTTTGTCCTGCAAATGGTGTTTAAAAAATTTAAAACTGCATTTACTCTAGCTTAAATAAAACAAATAAAACTTTTTCCAGAAGAAAAAATATTATAAATCTGACATTTGTACAACACATATTTAGTTTTAGTATTATTTTCAATAAATTAGGGATGCAACGATAATAGATTTTGGTTCTATGATTAGTCTGAGAAACAAACACGGTTTAACGATTATCACGATTATTATGCATTCGTTAATTTCAAAACACTACTACTTTAGAAAATCATCTGAACTCCTTATATTTTAAAGTGTTATTTATTGCTGCTCAGCAACCAATTTATACAATGCATAATCGTAGAAACAAACGATAGTCCATGTCTCTCTTTGTGCTTAAAATAAGTGAATGTTTTTTAATATAAACATAATTAATAATTTTACACTGAAAATAAATAACAGATAAATAAAAAAAAATCAAAAATAAGTCTGAATAAAAAAAAAACGCATTTGTCTAAAGCAGAGCTTCAAATTCACTTTTTTACTAGGTAAATAGTGAAACTGGTTAATCGTTGCATTGCTACAATAAATGATTCAGTTAATCACTAATAAAACTTCATGTTTTATTGCTAGATGTGTCATTATTGAATAATTATTCAGTGGCATATATGGGATGGCTGGTTGTCCCCACCTATTCGTTAAATAATATAATTGCTGCCTACGACTTTCATTTTTGAGCGTCAAGTTAAATGCATATGACTGTGATTTTAATCTTTACCATAAACATCAGTGGTTATATCAACTGTTATGCCAGCTGTGTTATTTGACTGTTTGTAACTTCATAACTAACTCAAGACTAAAGATTGAATCTTTTTCTTGATTTTTGAATTTTTCAAACACAGATTTGGATGCAGCAATTTAAAGGATTAATAAACATAATAATTTATCATTTATGTTGCGTGGGTTTTGAGATCTCAATCTTTTAATGATTAATCATGCAGCTTACACTAAAGGCATTGATGCAGGCTAAATAAGTAGTGACAGAAAACCTAACCTAAGAATCCCACAACATCCTGAATAACCTACCACAACTTCTTCCAGCATCATTATATTTTACAGGAAAGCCTAAATGCTTTCATACATGCGATTTAAATGACGCGAGAGGTGATCTCTCTGTGAAGGTTTAAAATTTAGGATTAATCTACAACTGTTCTAAACCATGGGTTGTGATCAACCATGATCTGTTACACCTAAAATTGATATTAGCTGTTTTAAGTAAATGAACCCAAGCACCCTATAATTGTATAATAAATGCTTGTATAAAAATGTTCAAAACCACACAAAATTTCTCGATTTCTCTGAATTAACTATTTATATTTATGTATTTATAAAATACGTCTCGTCATCCAGATGGATGCTGCTCACTGGTGGTGATCACACTTTGAGTGTCTAGAAAAGCACTGTATAAATGTAAATGTAAGGAATTATTATTATTATTATTATTATTATTAATGTATTTGAGTAAAATGCTTTCAGACACATTGATACATTTTTTAAATAACAACAAAACCATGATTCCTGGGTGTTAAAAAGTCAACATATATAAAAGAAATGAATGTACATTTATCACAATTAATGACAATATTAATAATAATCCAGAGAAACTGAGAATTCAGAAATCAGAGATCTCTTCATTTATTCCATAGCTGTATACTGCTATATAATACCATGAAAGTGCCACATTTATTTAAAATTCATGCATTGAAGACTTTATTAAATTGGTGCTTAATCATCATCTTATAGTCATTAGCATAAATAAGAAGTCTTTCATGAATAAATGTAAATTAACTGTGACTAATATTAAATCATATCTTGATAACAAGGTACAAGGATTCTACACAATCTATCGTCACTTCTTTTAAGTGTGAAATCTCCTGACCTGGTTAATATGATACACTGCAGGCAGGAAAGGCCTTTTTTACACGCCACGGATCAGTTTTGGGTATTTTTTTGCAGTCTAGTGTGAAGAAAACATCCAAATGCATTCTAAAGTGTTACTGTTGCTCCACGTTATCATTTTGGGTCTGTAGATCTCGAATACAATCAATATTTTTAAAAGAGTTTTTTTCTTCTCCACTGAGCCATAAATCTCCACTTCAGCAGCACTTTTGCACTCCAAACTTCACAGTTTTATTCATATCTGTATTCTGAAGGATTTCACAGAGATACGTTCATACATAGCGGCTGATTTTATCGAACGCTTCCTTCAAAATACTTTTCATCTGGCTGTTCAAGGTGTTTTGTGAATTAGGGAGTGATAAAAAGAAATCCCCTCAGTAGAAACATTTGACTTTAACATGTCAAACAATTAAACAAGAATATTTGAACCTGACATCTTGTGAGTTTTTTGTTCTAGTTGTGTTTGCAAATTATATCATAGTGTAAAAAAATATCTGTAAATTAGCAGTTTACCATATTTTGTGATTCATGTTTATATATTTTATTTATTTTCCCCCATTTATTTATAATTTTTGAATTGTGGGATTTATGGGATCTTTCTTCCTACAACTTTTAACAAATGTTTTAAGAAGTTATTTTATTGATTTTTTTAATAGCTTAAAGTGAAATATTGTCTGGGTTGGAGTTGTATATTACGCAACAAAAACCTCAAACTCACAGTACATTTTCTATTATTTTACAGGCTCTTTTCCCGCTACATTAACCGGCCACTTTATTAGGTACACCTTACTAGTACTGGGACCCCTTCAGAACTGCCTTATGAAAATATTCCCTACACCATTACACCACCACCAGCAGCCTGAACTATTGATAAAAGGATCCATGCTTTTATGCTGTTGATGCCAAATTCTGACCCTACCATCCGAATGCTGCAGCAGAAATCGAGACTTATCAGACCAGACAACATTTTTCCAGTCTTCTATTGTTCAATTTTGGTGAGCATTGCCGAATTGTAGCCTCAGTTTCCTGTTCTTAGCTGACAGATGTGGTCTTCTGCTCCTGTAGCCCATCAACCTCAAGGTTCGACATGTTTGATGTGGCAATGATGCTCTTCTGCATACCTCAGTTGCAGCGAGTGGTTATTTGAGTTACTGTTGCCTTTCTATCAGCTCGAACCAGTCTAGCCATTCTCCTCTGACCTCTGACATCAACAAGGCATCTTTGCCCACAGAACTGCCACTCACTGGATATTTTCATTTTTTAAGATCATTCTCGGTAAACCCTAGAGATGGTTGTGCGTGAAAATCCCAGTAGATCAGCAGTTTCTGAAATACTCAAACCAGCCTGTCTAGCACCAACAACCACGCCACGTTCAAAGTCCCTTAAATCACCTTTCTTCCCCATTCTGATTCTTTGAACTGCAATAGATCATCTTGATCATGCCTACATACCTAAATGCATTGAGTTGCTGCCATGTGATTGGCTGATTAGACATTTGCGTAAATGAGCAGTTGGACAGGTGTACCTAATAAAGTGGCCGGTGAGTTTATATTATTTCTTACACATTAAATTAGTGGTTCTCAAACTGTGGTACGTGTACCACTATTGGTACGCAGGCTTACTTCTAGTGGTACGTAGAGGAATCACTGAGTAACAAAAGAAAAAATGAATATAATTTTAATCATTTTATGCGTACGATAACACCAATGTGATCAGTATTGTCCGTTCTCTAAAGCCTACGATCAAATCGTTGTACTTAGAATGTTTACTTTAGTGCATCACGTCATCAGCTGCTAAAAATCTATTTAATTAAACTAGAGAAAGAGGTGCGTGGTGCTGGCAGAGCAGATACTGTACGTGCTACAGTAGTGGTCCCCAACCCTCAGACCGACACCAGTCTATAGATCAACTGGTACCGGACTGCACAAAAAAATCATTAATTATTTTATTTATTTTGTAAAATCTTTTATTTTGAAAAATGACCATATTCTCTTGTTACATCTCAGTCACTTGAGTGCCAAAATTTAACCCACAGGCTAGTAAAACTAGTAAGGACTGCAGCACGAAGCACTTGCGTATTCCAGGCGTCCCTAGTTGAAAACATCTTAACTTTTCAGAATGCAGCACTACGAGTCGGCATAAGAACCGACTGATCAGCTTCATATTTTGTATGAAATATAATTTCGTTGAATGAATATGACTCTGACTTGTTTTCGAACTGTGCAGTGCTGTAGCTGCTTAATTTGACCAACTATGCTATTTTATTTCAATACTGGTCATTATGGTGGTACTTGGAGAGATCATTTTTTCTGAGGTGGTACTTGGTGGAAAAAGTTTGAGAACCACTGCATTATATTATTTAAAACTACTAAAATGGCAATAAAAGTCACTGTTAAACTGTGGAGATGAATTATCAACATCAAAAGACGACAGATCGGAGATCAACATCCCATAATGCACTTCACAAGCATAAATATTTAAAAAACACTTGTAAATCACAAAATACGGAAACTGTTAATTAACAGATATTTTTTTACAGAGTATGTAATGAAATAATGCCTCATTTGCATATTTAAAAAGAACATTTTAGAACATTTGCAATACAAAAAAAAAAAAAAAACATTTGCTATTCTGAATGTAATCAATCAACTGGGGAAAATCGCTATTAGTTCATGCTTCTACCCTGTTCACCTGCAGTGCCTTGAGTGCCTGACTGAATTGAGTTAGATGAAGAGAAAACTGTGCACTGTGGGACAGGAGCAGGATTCTCTTCGACGGACGCGTCTCCACACCCCTCGGCACTGCGAATTCCCCACGGCCTGCCACTGCAGAGACACACTCCTAAAAGGAAGACAGCGAGAACATGATTGGCAGAGATGATGGAGGAAGACTGATGGACTGATGTGTATCGCTCTGACTGCTGTCCTTGAGCTGGGATATGAGTTTAAAGGCATTTTATGCATTGGTTAAAATCAGTGCTTGACAATAACTCAAGTATTTTTTACAGAACTACTGTACTTAAGTACATGTTTTAAGTATCCCTACATTATCTGAGTATTTTGTTTTAGAAAGCTTTTACTTTACTACAATTAAAAAAAAAAAACTAAATATTGTATTTTTACTGCATTATACTCATTTTTAACAAGAGAAATTGTCACCTTCTGAGACAAGGTTGAGGTGTTTGATTTGTAAACAAGCTGAGGTTGAAAAGTTCACAAATTGCAAAGAAACAACTAATTTGTGAATTGGAGTGACATTTGTAACCCAGTTCACTGATTCAAATGATCCCTTCTGAGTGGGTTTACAGTAAATGATTCACAGATTCAAATGATCCGTTCAGAGTGGGTTTACAGTAAATGATTCACAGATTCAAATGATCCGTTTAGAGTGTGTTTAATGTAAAGTTTTCACTGATTAAAATTATTTGTTCAGAGTAAGCTTACAGTACATTATTAACTGATTTAAAATGATTTGTTCAAAGTGTTTACAGTAAACTATTCACCGAGTCAAATGATTCATTCAGAGTGAGTTTCCAGTAAATTATTCACTGATTCAAATAATTCATTCAGAGTGAGTTTACACTGATTCAAATGATTAATTCATAGTTTACAGTGTTTTAAATGATTTATTCAGAGTGGATTTACACTATTGCAAATTATTTGTTTAGAGTGAGTCTCCAGTAAACAACTCACTGATTCAAATTATCCATTTAGAGTGAGTTTGCAGTGCGTTCTTCACTGATTCAAATAATCTGTTCAGAGTGAGTTTACAGTAAATTATTTACTGATTCAAATGATTCATTCACAGTGAGTTTACAGTACATATTTACTGATTCAAATGATTTATTCAGAGTGAGTTTGCACTGATTCAAAGGATTAATTCAGAGTTTACACTGATTCAAATGATCTGTTCAGAGAGCGTTAACCGTAAATTATTCACTGATTCAAATTATTCATTTAGAGTGAGGTCACAGTAAATTATTTACTGATTCAAATAATCTATTCAGAGTGAGTTTGCAGTAAATTATTCACTGATTCAAATAATCTGTCCAGAGTGAGTCTCCAATAAACAATTTACTCATTCAGATAATCTATTTAGAGTGAGACTCCAGTACACAATTCACTTATCAACTTTATTGCAAAGTAAATAAAAATAAGCAAAAAATGCTTTACATTTATTACTTAAATAAATTAAAAATGAAGTATTTTTGTAATTTGCGCCAAGTAATATTAAAAAAGGAGGGCTTTTTCTTTTGGAGTAAGACTTTATTGGGAAATCTACTTTTACTCAAATACCTAATTTGTGTGCTTTGTCCATCACCAGTTAAAATGTGGTTTCAAAAAAAGGTAAAATTCTCCAGAATTATCAGGGTTTTTTTATAATTTACCTAGATTAAACAGGCAATTGATATAGTTTTATTCAAAAACAATAAAATAGCATCAAATGTGTGCCTGATGCTGTTATGAGGGCTTCAAACCAGAACAAGATGTTTTCTACACAAGCTGCTGCATATTTAAAGATGTCTCATGGTTCCCTCTAGTGGCTGTGATCTAGTCTCGAAATGTTCCCTTGCTCCAAACAACCTGGCCTACTTCATTTTGAAAGATAATTCTGAAGAGTTAGGATATTTTATAATGGCTTGCCATGTTTTTTTCACACTTCATAATTTACTGCTCAAGTATTAAATGTACAGCTTTTTATTTTTATTTATTGAATTAATTTGTTCAAAATAATGAAAGAAAAGATACTGTTAGTAATAAATTCTATTTTTAAGTAAATATAGAAAAGAATAAGTTCCTTTTATCTTTCAAAAATCTTGAATATGATGAATCATGGATGCCAGAGTAATTTCAAATAAGACAGTGGTTTCCAATACATTTCAAATTATATTGGAAGAATAGAGAAATGATGTCATCTAAATTCATTTGCAGTGATATACATTTTTTGTAATTCCTTTTTTTCATGAGAAGATACATATTAACATGTTAACATACAGTAATTTATTATCATTCATTCTCATACTTCTCACATTATCATTTGTTAGTTTAGAAAATGCTAAAAAAAATACAATGAATGCTGAGTTAGATCAAATGTATTTTGGATAATAAGGTAATTTCTGTAATTAATTACAATCAACAAAATAGTTCAGAAAACTGTTCATTGCTGCAGCAGCGTCTTTACTTGCTGGTGATTTTTAGTCCACTATATGAAGAGTTTTTGGGTGTATCACAGTTTATAAATTAATATACACTCATCAGTCACTTTATTAGGTACACTTGTCCAACTGCCCGTTAACGCAAATTTCTAATTAGCCAATCATATGACAGCAACTCCATACACAGGCTCACCAAAATTGGACAATAGAAGATTGTAAAAATGTCTGATGAGTCTCAATTTCTGCTGAAACATTCAGATAATAGGGTCAGAATTTGGTATCAACAACATGAAAGCGTGGATCCATCAAGCCTTGTATCAATGGTTCAGGCTGGTGGTGCCGGTGTAATGGTGTGGGAAATATTTTATTGGCACACTTTGGGCCCATTAGTACCAATTGAGCATTTTGTCAACACCACAGCCTACCTGAGTATTGTTTCTGATCATCTCCATCTCTTTATGATCACAGTGTGCCCATCTTCTGATGGCTACTTCCAGCAGGATAACGCGCCATGTCATGAAGCGCAAATCATCTCAGACTGGTTTCTTGAACATGACAATGAGTTCACTGTACTCAAATGGCCTCCACAGTCATCCCTTCACAGAAGGATTAAGGCAGTTCTAAAGGCTAAAGGGCAACTCGGTACTAGTAAAATGTACCTAATAAAGTGGCCGGTGAGTGTATATTAATATATAGTTTACTATTCTCACTTACACAAATTATTGAATTCGGCAACCTACTACTACAAAAAAAAAAAAAAAAAATCAAAATGCAAATCTAATGTCTGAATTTGCATATAAGGTTTAAAGCAGTGTTTCTCAACCACATTCCTGGAGGTCCTGGATGTCTCCTTAACCAACACCCGATTCTGATCATCAGCTTATTAGCAGAGACTGAAAGACCTGTAATGGGTGTGACAGACAAAAGAGTTCACAACATGTAGTGTCGGTGGTCCTCCAGGAACATGGTTGAGAAACACTGGTTAAAGGCATAGTTCACCAAAAAAAAAAATCATTATTTTAATAACTACCATTTACTCACACTCAAGTGGTTCTAAACTTTTGTGAACTTATTTCAACTGTTGAACACAAAACCAGATACTGCATTTTGAAGAATGATGGAAAAAAAGCAGTCACTGATATCCATATTCAATAAAACAATCAAAATAGATTTATTAAATAATAAATCGTTTTTTTTAGAATTCATCTGTAGCATTCTTTAAACCTAAACAGGTCAGTAAAAAAGAAAAAGAAATAAGTAAATGAAGACAGAATTGTAATTATTTGTGTGAACTATCCCTTTAAGTATTACGGCTATACTTCTGAATCGTTTATATACTGTGATGAGTGTCTTAAGTGTTGGGCATAAGTTGCACAGAATTTCAAAAAGTTTTAATCCAGAAAGATTTCTGTGCTCTTACCTGTCATATCCCATGTTCTCTCCATCCCCGGAGCAGTATCGCTGACCTGGGGTCAGTGCTGGCGGTTGACACTCTACACACACCTGATGGCCTTCCTTCAGGTAGCGCATCCAGCGAGTGTGTGAACTGAAGCTGCGCTGACAACCTGCCGTCAGAGACGTGAGCTCAAACTCCACACAGTAACTGTGGAGAACACATGCAGACACAGAAATGCACAATCACTTGACAAAGCCACGTCTTACATTAAAATGTTTTAAGTTGTTTTTAAAGATTACTGTTTGAATTGAATGTTATAAAAATCAGATAATCATAGGGTGTGGCTGTTCTGGGTAGGCGTTTGCTTGAGTGTTCTGAGTGGTAGCTAGGGTAATCTGGCTGCCTGCTAGAATGTTGCTATGGTGCTCTGGGTAATTATTTGGTGGTTTCTGTGGTGTTGCTAGGCTGTTACTGGGTTGATCTAGGTGGTTTTTCTGGCCCTTGTAGTTGTAGTTCTATAGTCAAGCAATATCAACTTGTATAAAATTTGCAAAATCTAAAGATATTTGACCATTGATTGAACCGTGATACCTGGTATTGTTTTAACATTAAATCAATGTTGAATTGCTGGCTGGGTTTCCACCTGTCTAACCCAAAAATATCAAAGGAGTAACAATAATGTTAATATAATGTTAGTGTAAAATAACCAAAAACTTCCTATTTCTGTTAAAAAAAAAAAAAAAACTTTCCTGTCTAACAGGAAAAACTAATGTTGGAATAACGTTGAAGTAACATTACTATAATGTTAGTATAAAGTTAGAATAACCCAAAACTAACATTCCACTTCTCTAAAGAACACTCCTGTCTAACAGAAAAACTACCGTTAGAATAGTGTTAAAATAATGTTAATATAATGTAACTATAATTTTAGAATAACTAAAAAGTAACTTTCTACTTCTGCAAAGACACTCTGTCTAAATAAAATGATGTTGGATTAACGTTAAAATATTATTTAATTAATGTAATGTTAAAATAATGACAAACTAACTTTCTATTTCAGTAAAAAACACTTTCCTGTCTAACAGAAAAACGTTGGAATAACATTAAAGTAATGTTAATATAAATGTTAGCATAACGTTAGAATAACCCAAAACTAAAATTCTATTTCTGTAAAGAACACTTTCCTGTCTAACAAAAAATTAACATTGGAATAACATTAAAATAACAATACTATAATGTTAGTATGACGTTAAAATAACCCAAAACTAACATTTCCTTTCCGTGAACACTTTCCTGTATAACAGAAAAACTAAAGTTAAAATAATGTTAGTAGAAGTTTAGATTAAGCAAAAACTAACATACTATTTCTGTAAAGAACACTTTCCTGTCTAACAAAAAATTTACATTGGAATAAGGTTAAAATAGCAATACTATAATCTTACTATAACGCTAGAATAACCCAAAAAAAATTCTATTTTATTATTTTTAATTATTATTTTAAATATATATTCCAACAGCAAAACTAACATTAGAATAATGTTAAAATAATGTTTATTTAATGTAACTATAATTTTAGAATAACTAAAAACTAACTTTCTACTTCTGTAAAGAACACTTTCTAAAAGAAAAAAAAATATTTTGGAATAACGTTAAAATAATGTTAGTATAATGTTAGAATAAAGACAAACTAACTTTCAATTTCAGTAAAGAACACTTTCCCGTTTAACAGAAAAACTAACGTTGTAATGTTAAAATAATGTTACTATAATGTTAGTATAACGTTAAAATAACCCAAAACTAACATACTTTTCTGGATGTGTAAACGTGAACATTGGAGTATTTTATATATATATATATATATATATATTTTTTTTTTTTTTTTTTTTTTAATAATATATTTATGAGAAGATGTAATTTTGTACAACCCAGTAACAGCCATGCAACACTCTAGCAACAACCTACAACTACAGAGGGAACCACACTCAAAAAAATGATATGTTGGCGTTAATTAACTTTTTTTTGTCCCCTGGTTCCACGTAACAGAGTTAAGTTACCTTTAAGAAAGAATATTAATTTTAGTGAACTTAAGTTAGTTACATAAAGGTAATGTAATGTTACGTTGATTGAACTAAACAACATTTATAATTTAGCTTTAATTAATGTAGTTATTTAAGTTCAATTTTTATAAAATTGATATTGTTATGTTTAACCAAATAAAAAAAACAGTTTCCGTTTCATTGAGTTTATTCAATAGCATTTTTACAGTTTTACACATTTTCCAGCAATAAAATGATTAATAAAATCCAAATACTGTCTTTATCTGTATCTTCACTTATTACAATAAGTTAAAATATTAATACTATTAAAATAATAGTAATACAAGTATGAAGCAAATTGAAAACAATAAATAATTTTAAAAATATGCTTACAAAAACATCATAAAATACACTTTTCAAAATAATACTTTTCATATAATACAAAAACATACAAAAACAGTATTCTGCCTTCAAATGATTTATCAAAAATATACTTAGAAAAATTAAGTCTTCTTTTGTAAACTACCTTCTTTACACTGAAAAAGCAGATAACACTTCAGTTGTTCAAAGAAAGATTAACATTTAAAGCAAAGTAACACGATCAGCACTACACCATAAATTAGACCAACCATCACAGAACATGCAATAGCTACACACATTCATCTCTCTAAAACTTGCACCATTTATGCACATTTGCAACAGACACTTTCTTACAACCACTCCCTATATCTAAAAAACAAAAAACAAAACATTGTGCATGAAGTCTGCTTCACACAGGTGTGTGGGCTTGACAAACCACATGTAGAAGCATTCTTAATTCTTACATTTTTTTGTATAATTAGCACATCTTGGGTGTATCGCCTCTTCTTGTTGATTTGCTGAATGTGTCCTCAATTGTAAGTCACTTTAGATAAAAGAGTCGGCTAAATGTTAATGTAACTACTGTAGATTCATAAGGTGGTGTTGCACATCAAGGTTTGCGCTTCATCATGCCCAGCATCCTAAAAAAGTCAGGTAAAAAATAAAACATTTACCAACAGATCAAAGGTGAAAGGAGAAATTGGTTTAAGAGGAAAATACAAAATGTTTAAAAAAATAAAATAAAATAGCTTACCATGTACTCCCTGCACTTTGAGGATGCATTCACACCTTTTTTTCCACTGGTGATGTTCTAAATGACATGAAATGACAATTAGTAATTTACTAAGTAATTAGTAGTTAAAATTACTAGTAATTTTTACTGTACATCATTTTAATGTGTGTATAGGCGTCTAAAGGCATAGTACCTGGATGATCCACAGTCTCCTCAGCCAGATATGGGACTTTAGATGTTGAGCTGTAAACCTGTGAGGGAGAAAATAGATGTGAGTGAGCAAAGATTTGTAATAATAAAATATAATAATATACATAGCAAACTACTAAACTTAAAAATTTAAACGTGTTAGATGACCAAACAAATAAGCTTACATTAAATATGTCATCATGCTAGATGTCATGCTATTTAAGTGTCACATATGCTTTTTTGCTGATTTTTTTTTTTAAGTTAACAGGCTTGAATAATACAATTAGATAATAAATGACAATGTGCCAACACCACATTTTAATAAATTGTATGCAAGTTATCAAAACTGGCATTCAAGCTTGACAAACTTGACACTCATTTAAAATAAAGACTATCAAATCAAATAAAAAATCAAAACACTTTTATTGTCACATTATCAGCAGCACGTGTGCTATGATGAGTGAAAAGCTTAGACTATTCTAACATGACTATTTATTACTACCAACGTTTGCAACTTTATTTTGGGGGAGTTAATATATACTAAGTATAAAATTTCACAGGAATGCAAAACAAACTATACATTTATCTGTCTATAATGTGGAAAAGACACAGGGAACATGGCAATTTCATAGCAATACTATACACAAACACAACATAGTATTACAAGAGAGTACATTTATGATTCAAATGTTGTCACAGCCTCAGTATAAATACATAATATGTAAAAAAAATCTCACCTGTGTGTCCACATTGGGGAAAGCTTTGTGCACGTTCTCAATTTGTACTGTAATCTTCATCTTTTGATTCCCATAATATGGCGCCGAGCTGAGAGTGATCGTTGTGGTTTGAATCTTCTTACTTCCTGTGTTGTTTTGAAACTGCGCATGCGCAGATATTACTCTACCTATTGACCAAAATGCAGTACTGCAGAAGCAACACAACTCCCTTTCATTCATGTTAATTAAGTGAGCTGTTTAAATGTGAAAACTTACATTTTCTAATTTTTTCCAACACAACACTTTTATTTTTAATACACAAACATAAGCGAATTGTTTAATTTAAACATAGTTACATTCTTTGGACCAACTAAAGCCATAATTCATTTTTTTGAGTGCATAGCAACACTAACAGTCTGCCAGAGTAACCCAGATAAGTAGCTAGGAGATAACTAGGGTATATTTATGTCGTTGTTATATCTGGTCACTAGGTTAATAGATTGTCAAGATCTCACCCTGTGATGTTGTCCAAAACCTCCCTCTTTTTCCGAGCATTTCCATATCCACCCGTGGTGATGAGAGCCGGGACTATAAAATAATGAGTCAGGACAGGGGGTCAAAGATTACGGAAGAGACATTTTAATGCTTATGTGGCCCATATATAATAAGAAGGTTCAAACCTTCAAAAGCACATCCATTTATATGGTCGTTCAAGGTAAAAAGTGGCATTTATATTGCTGCTTAAGTACTTACAGCAAATCTATGCAAAGAAGATGATTATAGTACATCATTTGATTACACTCTATGTAAAGATAATGTGATTACATAAGATATGCCTGTACTGTGGAGCAAATGCAATAATAATTCAGTGCAAAAAACAATAATAATGGTTGTAACAAGTAAATACACTTCTGTGATGACCAGGTGCTTTTATAATGGATGCAAAGAGCTGACCTCAGACATGTTGAGGTATCAACTGCTGATTATGAAATGTATGGGTTTGCGTAAGAAGAATATTACTATAGATTGATGTACCCAGTGATTGCAGGCATGGACCGTGCTGATCGTGGTACTCGGCACATCCTGCGGTCTGCTGAAGAGACGGACAGGGTTCACCTCCATTACGTGCTTCTTGAATCACCTGCCTCCGCCTGGACCGCAGTGTGGGTTTACAGGGCTCCAGACAGCCAGACCACAGGCTCCATTCACTCACCACACAAGATACAGCTGAAACACACACGTACAATGGCTTTTAAATCAGAGGAAAGTAATATTTCAGAGTTTATCATTTTAATGTGCCTTGTATGCCTCATATTTAAACACTTTGGACAGTCATTACAACATTTCAGCTACTTAAATTGACAAACTCGTCATTTGGAATACAAAAAGAGATGATTTCATTCTTATCTTTGCCCGGAAAGTCCATTGAGAGTGAAAAAAGTAAGTTTGTTAGTGCCCACCCCATTTTTATATTACTATTTGGGAGTTTGAAAAGGTCTTTAATTTAAAGCCTTATCAAGGTTATACAGTTAGGGCCCTTACATATTTGGACATTGACACAATTCTAAAATCTATACACCAACACAATTGATTTGAAATGAACAAGATGTGCTTAAACTGCAAACTGTCAGCTTTAATTTGAGGGTATTTACATCCAAATCAGGTGAACGCTGTAGGAATTACAACAAATTTGCCTCCCACTTGTTAAGGGTCCAATAGTAATTGGACAATTGGCTTCTAAGCTGTTCCATGGCCAGGTGTGTGTTATTCCTTCATTATCCCAATTACACTGAGCAGATAAAAGGTTCAGAGTTCATTCCACGTGTGCTATTTGCATTTGGAATCTGTTGCTGTCAACTCTCAAGATGAGATCCAAAGAGCTGTCACTATCAGTCAAGCAAGCCATCATTAGGCTGAAAAACAAAACAAACCCATCAAAGAGATAGAAAAAAACATTAGGTGAGGCCAAAACAACTATTTGACATTCTTATAAACATTCTTAGAAAGAAGAAATGCACCACTAAAAGAGCTGGAAGACCATGAAAACAACTGTGGTGGATAACCAAAGAATTCTTTCCCTGGTGAAGAAAACACCCTTCAACAACAGTTGGCCAGATCAAGAACACTCTCCAGGAGGTCGGTGTATGTGTGTCAAAGTCAACAGTCAGTACAGCATTTAAGTTACTTAAATTGACAGAAACTCATCATTTGGAATACATAAAGAGATACATTCTTTCTTATCTTAGCCAAAACATGCACTGAGGGGAATAAAAGTAAGTTTGTCAGTGCCCACCCCAGTTTTTATTTTACCTTTATAGGCATTTCTTCAAGGTCTTTAATTTAAAGCTTTATCAGGGTTGTATATAATACGGTTATATAAGTGTACATTGTATGCCTCATATTCAAGCACTTTGGACAGTTATTAAAGCATGTGAGTTACTTAAATTGGCAGAAACTCGAATACAAAAATAAATGAATTCTTTCTTATCTTAGCCTGAAAAGTCCATTGAGGGGAAAAAGTTTGTTAATGCCCACACCATTTATTTATTTATTTTTTTTACCATTTGAGAGTTTAAAAGGGTCTTCAATTTAAAGCCTTATATCAGGTTATATATGTGCCTTGTATGCCTTATATTCAAGCACTTTGGACAGTCATTACAGCATTTCAGTTACTTAAATTGGCAGAAACTCATCATTTGAAATACAGAAAGAGATTAATTATTTCTTTTTTAGCCTGAAAAGTCCATTGAGGGGGAAAAAAAGTAAGTTTGTTAGTGCCTACACCATTTTTCAGTGGCAAGTTTTTTTTTTTTTTTTTTTTTTTTTTTTTACCATTTGGGAAGGTCTTTAATTTAAAGCATTATCTGGGTTTCTGCTGGTTTCACCAAGTCAAATGTAAAACTTTAAGACATTTTTAAAACTTTAATAAAGTCAATTTTAGACTTATAAAGTTCTAAACACTAAGGATTTTTTCTAATGTTCAGTGGAAAAGATTTTTACTTATTAAAACATTTCTATAGATGTGTTAAAAAAAATAATGAGAATGATCGGGAGGTAACGTCTGATTCCGATCGAGTCTGAAACCACATGATTGTGCCTGTTTTCGATCATGTGATCGGATTTGGAGATATCTACTTATTATTGTTAGGTAATGCTGAAAGATATATGTATATAACAAGAATTTGCTTGTTTTGACACAAAATTTGATATACAGTTGAAGCTCTATAGCTACTTATATTTTTAATATATTATTACAGATTGGTTTGGCAAAAGTTAATTACACCGAAATATTGTGAAAACAAAAGAGTTATGTCTGGGGTGTCAAACAAGAGCAGTAGATACTAGACTATATAAACCAGTCATCATAAATGGACAAATAGTAGAGCAGGTCTCAAATTTTAAGTATTTAGGCACAGTTATTGACAATAAACTTAATTTTAGTTTTAATGTTGAGGCGGTTTATAAGAAGGCAAGTCAGCGCCTCTATCTCCTCCGCAAGTTGAGAAGTTTTAATGTTAGTACACAGACTTTAAACATGGCATAGAGATCATTGATATTGTTTACATATATGTTCACATAATATTGTTCCATGGTTTGGTAACACAACACTTAAACACAAGAAGAAATTATGGCAAATAAGACGACTGGTCACAAACAACATTCACTGCAGATTTGATTAGACTCCTTTATGGAAAAAACAGCAGTTGTGATTTTTTTAAGTAATACTCATCCCCTTCACTCAGCATTTGAACTGAATGTTACCATCAGGACGCAGGTTTAGAATTCCTAAAGCATGAAAAAATGCTTATAAACAGTCATTTGTGCCAATGGCAGTTGTTATTTTAAACCGGATCACTGTTTAAAGTGAATGTGGTGGTTGCCAAGAATGATCTGCAGTAGTTTGTATGGGGCTAATTTGTTTATTTAAACATTTAACTTATGTTGTTGTCTTGATGAGTGTTGTTATTGTGTGGTTGTTGCATGTATGCAATTGTTGTCCTAAATCCAGTGTTAACGAAAAAGACTTTCCTTTCTTTGTCAAGCAGAACGGACAATAAAGTTTAAACTAAACGAAACATAAAAAGTCAAAATTATGATTAATAAAGTCAAAATTATGACTTAAAAAGCAGTAGTGATTCAAGTCATAATTAAGATTTCTGAAGTCTAAATTATTACATAAAAAGTCAAAATTAGGACAATTAATGTTAAAACATTAATTTCAGTTTGTAAGTTGTTATGACTTACAAAGTCAAAATTAAGGGATACAAAAATATAACTTACAAAGTAGAAATTATGAGTTAAAATGTCTATATTTAGACTCAAAAAAGACATGACATGTTTTATATGATTCAGATAGAGGTTACCATTGTATACTACTGTATACTATTATTGTGGCATGGCTGATTATGAAACATCTTTTTTAAAACTTTTTTTTTTATAATTTTTACAAGCAAACACATCAGCATATAAGTAAATAAAATCTGGCCTCCGGTTTACAGATCAGGTCTATAACAGCCTGATTCCATTGTATAATTCATAAAACATGTCATCTGAAAAAAAATGAAATTCTTAGAAACCTGGACAGGCAAGGTCATAGTCGTGGCAACAGTCCAATGTGGTCTTGCATGCCTGGTCGCAATAGCACTCTCCAAAGGAACGATCTTTCCTCCAGTCTTCACTAATGCATGACTGGTTTTGTCCGATGCAACACATTCCCGTATCCTGACAACCTCCTTCGCTCTGGGACACCAGTGTTACCAGCAGAGCCAAGAAGCAGAAAACCATCCAGGAGCTGCACGCTGACATGATAATGAGCAACCTGAATGTGTCGCTCGCCTCATCTGAACAGCTCATGCATGTAATTGACTTCTACATCTCGCCGCACCTCTGAACTGGACCATGACGTTTGCTGGGCCTGTTTTAGATGACATGCTTCGCTCAGCCAGAACTTTTTGCTTTTCTATTTTTACCTCATGGCTTTTAAGGTGAGTTAAACTCATTACAAAGTCTCTTGGGTGAAATATGTTTTCAGAAATAGGAGCATAGAACCCACAATTGTAAAATTGTATCTCTTTGCATGCACAGTTCTTTTGCTTCTTTTTTTTTTTTTTGGCAATTGAAGACTTTTTAAATGGATCCTTAGCTGGCCAATATTGCCCATTGATGCTGAAATGCATAAAAATAGAGAGGATTAAATTCCATGTGCATTAAATTCCATTAAAGCCAATTTCCACTAGGTAAGAAATTAAACTATTCCTTAAAGTCCAAATTATGATTTATAAAGTCAGAATTATGAGAAAAAAAGTCTCAAAAAAGTTGAAATTATGACTTAAAATCATAGCTTTGACTTTTTAATCTCAGAACTTTTATCTTATAATTTTTATTTTATAAATTATAATTTGCAGTTATGTAATAATTTATACATTTTATCTTATAATTTTGACTTCAGATTATTGCTTTGACTTTTTATCTCTGAATTGTCTTTATAAATTGTAATTTTGACTTAAGTAATCATTTCAACTTTTTATCTCATAACTTTGACTTTAGAAATCATAATTTGGACTTTGTACGACACTATGGCTTTTTAAGTAATAATTTTGACTTTTTGCCTCATAATTCTGATTTATAAATCATAATTCTGACTTATTTTTTATTAATTTAGACATTTTATCTTTTAATATTGACTTTGAGATTATTGCATAAAAAGTCAAAATTATGATTTATAAAGTCAGAATTATTATATAAAAAGTGAAAAAAAAGACTTAAGAAGCTGTAGTGACTTACAAAGTCCAAATTATGATTTCTTAAGTCAAAATAATGATAAAAAGTTGAAATTATGACATAAGTAAAAAAACTATTCATAGTTTAAATTTTGAGATAGAAAGTCAAAGCAATAATTTAAAAAATCTAAATTATAAGATAAAATGTCTAAATTACATAGTCAAAATTATGACTGAAAGTCAGAATTATGAGATTGAAAGTCAAAATAATGACTTAAAAAGCCGCCGTGTCATGATTTACAAAGTCAAAATTATGAATAAAAACTTTCAAGTACAACTTTAAAAGCCAAAGTGACTTAGAAAGTCATAATTATGATTTCTAAAATCTAAATAATGAGACAAAAGGTTAAAAATTCAGAGCACAGAAAAGTAAAAAAAAAATGACTTAAAACTGAAGTGACTTAAAAATCAAATTATGATTTCTAAAGTAAAAATAATGAGATAAAAAGTTAGGTAAAAGTAAAAAAAAATATTTATACAGTTAAAATTCAGAGATAAAAAGTCAAAGCAATAATTTTAAAAATTAAATTATAAAATGTCTAAATTACATAAAATGTCAAAATTATGATTTATAAAGTCAGAATTATGAGAATAAAAGTCAAAATAATGACTTAAAAAGCCGTCTTGACTTACAAAGTCCAAATTATGATTTCTAAAGTCAAGGATTATGAGATAAAATTTTTATTGACTTAAAAAAACAATGCGAACTAAAGAGTCATAACTATGATTTTACTATGTAAAAAGTTACAATTGTAACAGTCAAAATTACAATTTATAAAGTCAAAATTACAAGATAAAAAGTCAAACCTATAATTTTAAGTCAAAATTATAAGATAAAATGTCTAAATTATTACATAAAAAGTCAAAATTAGGACTATTAAAGTTAAAACTGACAAAGTAGAAATTATGAGATAAAATGTCTAAATATAGACTCAAAAGACATGACATGATATATATGATGCAGATAGAGGTTACCATTGTATACTACTGTATACTATTATTGTGGCATGCCTGATTATGGAACATCTTTTTTCAGCTGGGTTTAGATATGACTTTGTTTGATTTGATTAATTCCTAGGAAGATACCTAGTATCGTTTTTGTCTGTCTGTTCCAAGAACAAGGCTGAAAACAAACTGGGTCTAAAATATTTTGATATCAAATAAATTAGGCTTAATAGTCTTTGTTCTAACACAAATCTATGGCATTTCTCCGATAGCATGTAAATTCAGCATTATTTTGCAAATTTGGTCAAAAGTCCATGCATGCACTAGCTTTTAGATCCTCCTGCCACAGAAGTAAAAAATGTCAAAGATGAGTTAAGCTCATTACAGTCTAATTTAGAAATCAAAGCAAAGGGGATTTGCTCATTAAGTCATGAGCTATCTCTTCTGATTTTAAAAAATGTGCTGCTGTTTTTTTTTTAAAGAAGTTCCAAAGAATGGGAATAACATGGCCTACAGTTAAAGTAATTCACATTTACGGCCATAAAATTTTGCATCTACAGTTGTTGGTTTAGTGTTTTTTTAGTGGCTGAGGACCCTCTTCAATGTTTCCTTAGCTGACCAGTATTGTCCATTGACGCTGAAACACGTGAAAAGAGAGGATTAAATTAATTCCAGTAGCTAGAGGCTATTCATACAGAGAGAACAATGCCATAGGCACTGCTGTAATGTAGGGCCTCATATATACACATTCCCATGTCTCACATGCAAAGAGAGGGTAAGAGGGGCTTAGAAGTTATGTGAGGTAAATGGGCACATGCAAGCGCATATGATGCTTGTGTAAAAACAAATTTCAGTAAAATGTATACGTCAATGTATGGAGATCTACTGGGATTTAATCAATTGTATGACACATTTTTATACAATTCATTTATAATAAAGGTCCTTTGATATACTTAATAAAGGTCCTTTGATATACTTAATAAAGGTCCTTTGATATACTTAATTTGTTTTTGAGCATGTGATTAACAGTATTTTTAACCAAATATTTTTTAACCAGTTTCCTCTATGTGTAATATATCTGTGATTCTTTGTGTATACACTCATTTACCTAACTTTATGTATACAGAACTGCCTTAATCCTTTATGGCATAGATTCAACAAGATACTGGAAATATTCCTCAGAGATTTTGTCCATATTGACATGATAGCATCACCCAGTTTCTGCAGATTTGTCGGCTGTACATCCATGATGTCTGAGATGATTCCTGCTTCATGACATGCAGTGTTATCTTGATGGAAGTAGCCATCAGAAGATGGGTATACTGTGGTCATAAAGGAATGGATAGTCAACAACAATACTCAGGTAGGCTGTGGCATTGTCATGATGCTCAATTGATACTAATGGGCCCAAAGTGTGCCAAGAAAATATCCCCCACACCATTACACCACCAGCCTGAACCGTTGACAGAAGGCAGAGTATATCCATGATTTCATGTTGTTGATGTCAAATTCTGACCCTACTATCCAAATGTAGAAGCAGAAATCGAGACTCAGACCAGGCAATGTTTTTCTAATCCTCTATTGTCCAATTTTGGTGACCCTGTGCGAATTGTAGCCTCAGTTTTCTGTTCTTAAACCCGGTGTGGTCTTCTGGTGGTAGCACATCGGCCTCAAGGTTCAACATGCTTAATGTGTTCAGAGACGCTCTTCTACATACCTCAGTTGTAACAAAGTGATTATTTGAGTTACTGTTGCCTTTCTATCAGTTTGAACCAGTCTGGCCATTCTCCTCTGATCTCTGGCATCAGCAAGGCATTTGTGCCCACAGAACTGCCGCTCACTGCATATTATCTCTTTTTTGGACCATTCTCTGTAAACCCTAGAGATGATAGTGCGTGAAAATCTCAGGAGATCAGCAGTTTCTGAAATACTCAGACTAGCCTGTCTGGCGCCAACAACCATGCCATGTTCAAAGTCACCCAAATCACTTTTATTCCCCATTCTGATGCTCGGTATGAACTGCAGCAGATCGTCTTGACCATGTCTACATGCCTAAATGCATTGAGTTGCAGCCATGTGATTGGCTGATTAGAAATTTGCATTAACAAGCAGTTGGACAGGTGTACCTAATAAAGTGGCCGGTGAGTAAGTAACCATTCAAAATGATAAATTAACACTAATTTCACATTTGTGGATTTAAAAAAAGTGACAGTTCTATGTGATTATTAGCATGTTTAACATCAAAATACATGAGAGTTTCTTTTCTATATGATATCACCAATGAAATCCCACAGCAATTTGTAAGTTTTTAAATTTAGTGTCTAATTCGTATATGAATTTGCACAACCAAATCTGTATATTTTCGTGAGATTTTGGGCTGGATGTCAATTTATGGACATCGACTGGTACTGTATATAATCAACTGTATGGCACATTTTTTATACAATTCATTTATAATAAATGTCCTTCATTATACTTTTCTACAATTATCTACAATTAGTTTGTTAACCATATTATGAACAGTATATTTAACCAGCTTCCTCTATATCTAATATATTTGTGGTTTTATATATGTACAAGTAACCATTCAAAATGATAATGATTTAACATTGGTGAGTTACAAAATTGAGGCTAGGATGGCTTTTTGAAAATTAATCTCTAAATTATTTTTTTACAGTGCGATTATTAGTATTTTCAACATTGAAAACATGACAGTTTCTTTAATACATGATATATCCAATGACATATGTAGTATTTAGTTTATACTGTCATAAAACATATGACAGTAATTCATAAGATTTTGGATATAGTGGCTCATAATATGAATTTGTATGAGTGCATACATGTCTATCGTGAGATTTATGGCTGAATACTTCTATGTCTGTGATAGTGCTCATTCCAAACTGTTAAAACGTTCAACAAATAAATAAATAAATAAATAAATAAATAAAGTAAAATAAAAATGAACACTAAATTGCCATTGGTGGCTTTGAAAAGCGAGTTTAGCATGATTTGTCAATATGCAATGTCTGGTGGAGACATCTGATCCATCCAGCATGACTAACAGAATTACACTGGTTAAATGTGCAAGAATAAAATGTTGCCTTACAAAAACAAAAGCATCATCTCCTTACTACACAAACATTTCCATAGTTCTAAATCATGCCACTCTTTAAATGAAAAAGAAGATATTGTCTTTATGTACTTTTGTGCAGAGGCTCAGCTTGGACTAACAGGTTTTCAATTGCTCGCAGAATTGTTTTTGTGGTTCAGGAAACACAATAATGTTGCATTATGTTTTACTGTGAATTTTTCAGCAGACAGTAGATCATGTTATGAACAATAACACTGTGGCAAGTCTGGTTACCCAGCATGCGCTTCAACTGGGGTCAAATTAGAGTTTATTTGATTTGATTACTAGCTTGGAAAACCACAAAGCCCTGTTCACATCTGAAAATAAGATGTGTTTTTGAAGGTATAATGCACAACACTAAATGCAAAGCTTGTTCACACAAGCAAACAGTAAAAAGGACAATGTTTTCTTATTTCTTACAGGTTCTGTTGAATACAAACTCAAAATGCTGCTATCTGAGCTCAAACTACATTTTCCTCTGTAGTTTACCATGTGTTTCCTTTTATGTGTGTGTGTGTGTGCGTGCGTGCGTGTGTGTGTGTATGTATATATATATATATATATATATATATATATATATATATATATATATATATATATATATATGTATATGTGTGTGTGTGTGTGTGTATGTATATACACAGAACACCCAAACGCTGATGTGCTTTAGCATACTATGGATATCAATAATTACAGATATCCAGTTTTCTTCATGTCTTCTTTTGTGTTAAAAAAAAAAGACAGGACAAGTTTGGAACAAGTGGATGATGAGAGAATTTTAAGTTTTGAGTGAAGTCTTTTGAGTATGTCAAGCTGCTGTGTTAACCCATTGTAATGTGTTTTAGTGAATATTAAATTACTAAAAGAGCTGCAGTTTATTTTGTATTTTCATAGGTATATTTTATGTTTTAAAAGTATAGCTTCAAAGCAAAGTACTAAGTAATCTGATTACTTTTTGCATGACGTAATTAGTAATGTAATCAGATTACAATTTTCCAGTGGTAGTCAATAATTTGTAATCTATTACTTTAAGTTACCCAACACCGACAAGGACTATATACCTACATATAAAAATAAGAAGAGTGAATGTTGATTTTATACCAACTTGGGTTTCGTGAACAGAAAATATTAAGGCTATAAAAACAACACTAGCTGGGTTAGTTAAATAGTAAGAGATATGCGAGACGATATGCAAGAAAAAAACATGAATGATTTTGCATTGGGGAAGCAAAGGCAAAGTTGCTGAAATGAAATATGATTTTTCTCACAACAAAACAAGTTCTCACAAAAACAAACAAACAACAGATACCATTACGGAAGTTCTAATGGTTTTTGTAATAGTTTGAATAGTTCCAGTAAAGCCTGTATTGGTCCCGTTGGACTCTGGACTCAACCAGTTTTGACAAATGGATATCTGCCAAAACACATAGAAAACATTAAAATTGACTAGTTTTAAAATGTAATGGTTAGGTTTATTGGTTTAATGGTATTTGTAGTGGAATCTTCTTTTTAAGCAGAGGTTTTATTCCCATCACCATTAGAGGCTCTGTCTTTCAGTATTCTCACAGCAAAGGAACTTTAATTAGTGGCTCAAAGTATTTTCTCCTAATCCTGACTCTTGAGAACGGGAATATATAAACAGCCTCTGAGGAAAGAGACCAGAAACAAGGCGAACAAATCATTCCCTCCCTCAGTCAACCACACTGAGGCATACCTGAGCAACGCCATGATCTTCCTAATGGATTTACAGGTGATGCTGCTGGATGTGCTGTACTTCATCCTGCGCTCCTGTCTGCGGCTCGTGTTCAGACCCCGCACGAAGCCCATAGACGGCGAGTTGGTGCTAATAACCGGCTCTGGGGGTGCTTTGGGGCGGCTGTTCGCCCTGGAGTTCACCAAACACGGCGCAGAAGTGGTGCTGTGGGACGTCAACGGGGAAGCTAATGAGGACACCGCCAAACTGGTGAGGGCGCGAGGGGGGCAGGCGCACGCGTACACGGTGGATGTGACAAAACGGGAAGAAGTTTACCGGACAGCCGACCTCGTACGGGAGGAGGTGGGAAGAGATGTGACCTACCTGGTGAACAATGCCGGGGTGGTCGCCGGTGAGAGACTTCTGGACTGTCCCGATTACTTGTTGGAGAGGACCCTGAAAGTAAACTGCCACGCTCTCTTCTGGGTAAAAAAAATGCGAATTTTAATGTCACAATTAATTACTCTTTCATTTGTTTTAAATTAATGTTATCTGTGCAGATTATTAATAAAATAATAATAATAAAATTGCCTTGGTAATCTACACCAAAACCACATCTCTCCGTTTGATTATTCTTTTTCAGGCGCGTGGGCGGGGCCATCTATCACTCACATAAACTCGACCAATAGCGAGCCTTAACACTAATAGTTTTTTTTTTTTTTAATGAAATACGTAGGCTAGCATTTGTTTTAAATGCAGGTTATTCGTGCAGATTATTAATACAAAAAGTAACAGTAATCTACACCAAAACAACATCTCTGATTAATTTACATGTTTTTTTTTGCCGCATGGGCGGGTCAACCTGTCAAACTGACACATGAGATCGACCAATAGCAAGCCATAATGATCCCACGGTCCAATCAATTCACAATATCTTAAACAATAAGGGCTATGTTGTTTTAAACCATAAATATTTACATTAGATGTTTTTTACCCTGTTGTCGCCTATTGGAAGGAATGCATCAGTAAAGTCGCCTATGCAAATGGTCAGTAACCTATGCAAATTTCTTTTTTAATTATGAAAATTTTAATTTTACATCACTTTTGTACATTGATTGATAAGTGATCACATGACCATTGCCCACAAAAAGTGCATGTTTGTGTGCATGGAAATGTATTATCCTCTCCTGCTTTCACTTCCGATGGCGGTGAGAGCATCAAAGGTCTCTCTGGCCGCCCTGGCGACAACGTTGTCTGCCTACAGCTCATTTTAAACCACCAAACACGTCAATAAATATAATTTTATTAAACTCTAGAGTAATTTTTTACATCAAGTGTTTTCTTAAGAGATGATTGTCTCTAAAAAGCAATTCAAAAGCATGAAAAAAATGTATTGGCCATAGTGTGTAAATGGGAGAGTGTGTGTTTACCCGCACTGATAGCACAGTCTAAAACAATCACCAGCGTAATCGGTGGTTCATTCCAATGTGGTGACCCCAAATAAACCAGGGAATAAGCCCTGTGAGTGAATTATAAATGATCCCAACTGATTTGATTGTCTAAATGTGTTACTGTCACCCAAAAAATCAGCACATGTTGGTTACACAGGTTTTACCATGGCTTTTGGTTAAGCTGGTTTAAACTGGTTCTTGCTGGTTCTAAGATGGTCCTGTTCATCTCATTACCAGCAAAAACCAGCTTATGACAAGCATAGAATCAACTCCAGCAAGTCCATCAGCAATGGATCAAAAACCTAACCAGCAATCCAGCATATGCAGTTTCTCTCAAGTTCATAAGGTCATGAACATATGATCCATTAATGATCTACCAAATGTATAGATGTACCTGTATTAAGGAACATGTCAACAGAAAAATATCCTTAAAGATCCTAAAATACCTATAATTGATGACTCTTCCACACAACGACCATAAAAAGTACAGTACCATTTGAATACCTACCATAAAGACATACTGTGCTTTCTGCGTTTAATCCAAAGTTTGACATTATAGATCACTTCTTGATAAATCCGTACATGAAATGCATAGAATGCATGATGTGGGAGTTAACAGATTTGAACCTTTAAGCCCCATTTACATCCCTTTACTCGTAAACATATTATTGCTCAACGAAAGTCTGAGTCTGATCCTCTTAATGCAAACAATCGTTACAACATATGAAGTAAGTGGATTAATGCTCACATTCAGCAGCCATACAACTGAAGATTTGATTTGGAATTGCTCTATTTTTGTAAAGGAGAAGCCATGTGTTCATTCATTCATAATGTCATTGGTGCACGCAACTCCTTTGGAAACATCAAACTTATGTGAACTCTAGAAAAGAAAAGACACGATAGGCGAATGGTCCCAAAAGGCTGTCGTCATTTGCAATCTCTAGTAGTTGATCTTCTTGCACAGACATGGTGGATTCAACTGGTTTGTTGGCAAATTGGTTTCGGATCCATTCTTTGGCAGTTTGTGTGTCCTTTACTGGGCATTTTCCCCTTAGCAAAGAAACTTTCCAAAGAAGTCTGTTTTTTTACTCATTTTGCTGCTTATTGGCAGGGGTGAATTTGGGGCCCTTAGCAATTCCAGCCATGGGGCCCAAACAGGCCCGGATTGGCTAATCGGGAGGACCGGGAGAATTCCCGGTGGGCCGGTCTGTTTTTTGGCCGCGAGAGCCGGTGTCCCTAGCTGCTTGCACTCTCAGCAGTCACACTTTTTTCATCTATTTATTTATTTGACCTTAGCTTTTCTCTTTTTCTTCATTATTTTGCCGCAGCGCCGCTCTTTTTATTTATTTTCTCGCAGCCCCGTGAGCAAAATGCAGCCTGCAGGTTAGCTAACATTAATGATGATGATGTAATGTAACTATCGAGCCCAAACAGCGGCACCTTAGTGAGTATAAGAATTCGAATAATTGATATTAATGAATAATACACCTGCTCAATGAAAATCAAATGATTTACTACATTAATAAATCTGTCATAACTTGATCAGAAATCTTAAAAGGGAGAAGGGAGCCATCAAAACAAAATAGTGCTGTGTCTTATGGGTCACAAGTCATTACTTATTTTTTATTGCCACATTTATAGCGCCATTGTGGTCCAGTGTTACGAATGTTGCATTTCAACGCCGCGGTCCCGTTTTCGAATCTCACCTGTAAAAGTATTATTAATTTTATTTTTCATTTTTATTGTAAAGACATATAATACTGTTAGGGTTGTTGAACATTTAAATTTCTAAAGCAGCTGTTTTCTTGAAAAAGTCGTGATAGTGAAATTAGAAACTGAATTGGAATCAGTCGTGAACTGAGATGGGCCGGTCTGGCTTGAAACTCCAGGGCTGAAAATGAGTCCCACTCCGGCCCTGGGCCCAAAAGTTCTAAAATGCACCTGTAACTTTTACTTTTTGCTGATTTTTTCTTATATCATTCGATTTCCTTTTCTAAATTTTATCATAATGCACAATAATGATAATAATAACATGTAAAGCACCTTGTAAAACTTTTGAAACTATTTGTTTTCTTAAGATGAATTCACAACTAAACATAATAGGTGAACTATTTTGTTTTTTTAAACTAAATCTTTACTGATTTGACTGCTGGACTGCTCCATAATTGAAGGTGTGGGATACATTTGCGCTAGGGTTGGGCATCTAAGCTATAATGCCGATCCGATACGCATCTCGATACAAAGAATACGATCCGATATATTAGCGATACATTTGTGACATATTGCGATGCAACACAATACGATTCACACCCATATCACGATACGATGCGATATTTCAGCACTAACTAATTAGATCAAGTTTATGAGATGATGTGAAAGAGGATGCTGTGCCATTGAATGAGTTTGATTATTTATTAACCAAGCAAAACCAAGACTTTTTTACAAACTGGCTTTTCTCTCAGAGTCAGAGTGTCAGTTTACAGTAGAAGGCCATTTTAGAACATATAGCACATATTATTTAAGTATTTTCAAGATAAACAGAATGTATAAGTGCAATATATATTAAAAAATATATATATTTGCACTCTTTCAACATAAATAAATTTAGCATTGCACAACAAGAATTTTGATTTAACTTTTCAACTATGAAAACAAGTTTTACAAAGATATATTTTGCCACTGATTATTCAAAACTTAAGGTCGTGAACTAGCAGTGTTATGCTGCGTTGAAACATCACTGTCACTGTAAACAACAGGCTAATAAAAATATAACAAACCAGCAATCTTCTTGCTGTGAGGTGGTCAAACTACCCACTGTGCCACCGTGACACCCATTATTTTTATCATTATTATTATTAATATTATTATTATTATTAAATAAAAATTAACAGGAGGAGGTGTTTAAAACATTCGTTCTCCGTGACACTAGGCTGAATATCTTTGCAGATGAACAATGCAATAGCATTCGTTATTGGCGTAGAGCGAGCAGAACTGTTGCGCATGGAAAAAAAAACTTTCAATGCTTTTCTCACCACTTTTGGAGCTGGTTGAAGCATTGCGAAAGCCGGGGATGCAGAAACACTGGAAGATGCTTTCACAACAACACCGTGGCGCCGCTTCAAGTGAGATATCATATTAGTCGTACTGCCCGCGTATTTTACAGATGCGCGGCACATTTTGCAAATTGCATCTGTCCTGTCATGTCGTCCATCCTTAAATCCATAATGTTGCTTGCCATACTTTAGATTTAGAACTCAGTGGGGAATAAAATGTTTGTTTTGCTTCTCGCGCTTTCTGAGGGCGCTCCACTAGCTTCATCCGCACACCTGATACACTGAGTTGTAGTGTGAGTGTACACATCCGCAAATCCGATGCTAAGGCTTACTTTATGTAGGTCGATTAAATTATGCGCCAAAAACAGGTTGACAACACTTGTTAATAAATAAAAAATACATTCTATATTAAAAATAAAAGCTGTATCTCGGAAAAATCGATGCATCTCGCAAAAACCGATGCATCTCGATTTGCTTCCAAAATTTCATTCATCCTCTGCTGCTCAACCGATGCACTCGCATCGTGCACGCGCATGACCGCGTATCGATACATATCGGTTAATCTTCCCATCCCTAATTTGCGCAGATGTAATGATTACATTCAAATGAAACATTTTAGACCCTCACCGTTCAAAATATGATATGAATATGTATATTTGGGGGCCCTCAGATATCCTGAGGCCCTAAGTGGTTGCTTACCTTGCTTATTGGTTAAATCCGCCCCTGCTTATTGGTTATATTTGGGCGCTCAAGTGAGAAAGATGTAAACGAGAGAATGTGGTCATTTTTCAAAATAAAATACTTTTCAAAATAAAAGATCATTCATACTATCAAATATAAGATCGTTCAGATAATATTTAAACCGGAAATAGTTATTAACAGTTCTTGTGTGGCCCGGTACCAATTGATCCATGTGGGTGAGGACCACTGATCTAACCTATTTACTTTTAATAACATAGTTCTACCATAGCACATTTCTAAAAATCCCAAGTTTAAGGGTTTTTTTTGTGAGTTTTTTTCACTGTAAAATGAAGTTTTTTGTTTTTTTTATTAAATGAATACTTCAGACTTTATTTACAAATCCGTATGTCTTCCAAATACTCCACCAAAGCTCTGAAATTTCACTCACATTTGAATGCCTTTGCTTGTGATGTAACCAAACCTGTTAGAAATCTCATTCTTAACTGAAACTAATGAGATTGGAGAACTTTGCTTGAGGGGAAGATTATGAGTGAATAACCATTCATTTTCAGTCAACACAAAGCTATCGTATGTTTTGGGAAAACATGAAATTGAGCAAAAGGTTTACGCTGTTATGGTGCTTCTTTTAGAACGTGTTTTCATCAAGGTTTTTACATAATTTCACAGATAAACAAGCAGCTTCTGAATTACGTTTTGTTTTTTACTGAAAAGTGATTTTCAGTCAATATATTATCAAACTGTATGATTTGTTTGTCTCCATACAGACTGTGAAGGCATTCCTGCCCCAGATGAAGGATAAAAATCATGGGCACATCATCACTATAGCCAGCGTTCTTGGACTCTTCAGCACAGCCTGTGTAGAGGTGAGATGAACAGTAACTAAGTAAGACAGTGTTCAAAGTCCTTCTTTAACCTGCTTGTATACATGTCATTAATGCACTCGTGTGAATGGCAGGACTACTGTGCCAGTAAGTTTGCTGCAGTGGGGTTTCATGAATCTCTGGCCCATGAACTGCTGACCGAAGACTTGGATGGAGTGAAAACTACTCTTGTGTGTCCTTATATTGTGGACACTGGCATGTTTGAAGGCTGCAGAATCAGGTCAGGAGATATCACAACACAATACCAATGTTTTAACTTCAAAAAGGATAAAAGGATACAGTAGTTCACCCACCAAAGTGAAGTGCGGGAAGGGGGGGGGGTCTCTGCGCCTGCTGAGAGGGGCACCTCAGCCAATGAGGGCAGAGGGGCAGTGGCTCTAGCCACCATGCCAGCCCCCTGTGCACGGCCCTGTTCACCACAATGATTGCAGCTTAGCTGTTAGTCGTGAAAGGCTCTTCAGCTAGAAAAGGATGCCTTAGCTTGGCACATGCAGCGGTTTATACAAAATTAATTTTAAGTGACTCACTGGCATTTCATTGGCCTGTATATATACTCTTTCAGATGATTAGATTCTGACGCAATCCCCATAGTGGAAGTTTCCACATAGCATTTCCATTCCCACCCTTGGGGAACGAGGGTTACTTTCTTAACCAAAGCATTCCATACCATAGTCATGTCTCCTATAAATACAGTAAATCCAGAGAGAGAAACTGTAAACTGTGTCTTTTTTTTATTTATATTACACTTAAAGATTTATATTAAACTTAAACTATTAGATCATCATTGGTTATAACAGATGTATTTATTTAAATATGAAGCAACACAATTATTCCGACTCTTCATTTTTTTATCTCTCTATAGGGAGGAAGTTGCGCTGATCCTGCCTCCATTGGAGCCCTTGTACTGTGTCCAGCAGGCCATGAATGCCATTCTGATAGACCAGCCATTAGTTTGCATCCCCAGACTAACATACCTTCCCTTCCTGGCCAGAGCGTGAGTACAGACCGACTTTAACATACGTGACTTTAACTCTATTACCATTCACATCTGCACCACAATAGGGTATATGCACAGCTAGTGTTTCTTCCCATACCGATAAACCTTCGGTGTACGGTTAATGCGACTTTTTTTCAATTATATATGGGTCCTTTTAAAGCATCGATGTTGTAATGTAATTAAAATACAATCAGTTAAACAGACTTCAGCACTCATTTAGTTGTTCAAGCGTAAAACGAGATCATTTACATGCACGCGGCTGTCAGGATCAGGCAGAAACTCCATGAAAAATACTGGGGTAAAATAAATGTTCATATTTTAAAGACATGGTGCGGTCACTTTTATAATGTAGATCAATCAGGCAGTGAAGATCATTGAATTTGAAAGAAAAAAGACCTTAAATGTGACGATTTTGTAACTGCATACAGTTTACCAGAAGCGCTTGACCCAGGTTACTGAAAAAGTCCTTCCGCATACTTCTGCATATACCCAAGCAGCAACCTCCCGTTCCCCTTCGGGGGGAACTTCAGCACTATAAGTGGATTTGATTGTAAAATCCACGCATTGGGAGGTTCGGTTCAGAAGCTACTCGTCTGAAAGAGTATTGAACGGGCCAATTAAGAATGAATTGGCAGCGCAAGCCTGCGCAGGTGAGCGGCATAAGCAATCAACTGAGTATATAAGCTCACCTGGCGCAGCAGACGCTATCCTTTTCGCTTCAGAGACTTTCTGATCGAGTCGATGAGGGTTCCTCCTGCTGTGACCAGCGATTCTGAGCGAACGAGAGCATTCTCCCAGTCCAGAGTGTGTACACGCAGTGGCAGACGGTCGAGCTGGGTTTCTCCCTTGCCTGGCGTTCTTTGGGTCCGGTCCTCCAGAGCGGTGCGTATAAAGTTGCAAACTTCACAGAAAGAGCAACACAGTCGTGCAGCACGTCCTTATCAGGACGGCGCTCCGACTGTGCGTTTCTGGATGCGGTGGTTTCCTGTCCTCGGATGATGGGCGCGGGCACTGTGTTACATGTCTGGGGGTCCAGCATGTTAATGCGCTGCTCGCGGGCAGTTCATGTCGTCATTGCGATGCCATGACTGTTGCGCAAGATCGCGGTTAGCCTTTGCAAAAAGGCGAACCACCCCAGTTGTCCCCTGCTCTGCAGCGGGCACTCGGGCAGATCTGAGGGTTTCAGCGAGAGATAATCCGTCGCCCACGGGCCCGCGGACCTCCCGCTCCTCTAAGCGCTCCATCCAAGCTTCGGGCGGAGGAAGCGATCCGTCTAACAGATGGTAGCCCTTACGCCCGATGACACCGGAGACCAGATGTCCACCGCGGCATCGGAGGGTGGGCTTTCATTGTCCGATGATGATCCAGACCCGCTCGCCCCCTTCGGGCTGGTGAGCGCTGTCACTACGGATCCTGAAACGGACATGTTAGCCGTGCTTTCCCGGGCTGCTTCGGCCGTGGGTTGGAGATGGTTTATCCCCCAGCTCCGCGGCCGGACCGACTAGAGGGGCGTTCCCTTCTTCCCGGAGGTGCACAGTAGGCTCACGCGGTCTTGTAAAGCACTTTTTTCTGCTCGTGCTGCGTGTTCCTCCACCCTAACCACTCTTGACGGTGAAACAGCCAGGGGGTATGTGGCGATTCCTCAGGTTGAGTGCGCGATGGCGGTCAATCCGCGCGGCTCCTCTTCTTGGCGGGGTCCGCCTCGTCTCCCATCCAAAGCCTGTAAGTTATCTACCTCCCTCGGAGCTAGAGCTTACATAGCTGCGGGCCAGGCTGCTTCCGCCTTGCATGCGATAGCCACCTACCAGCGCTACCAAGCGCAGGCGCTGGCCGAGCTGCACGAGGGTGGGTCCAACCCAGGCTTACGAGCTTCGCACCGCCGCCGACTTAGCTCTTCGGACTACTGAGTCCGCTGCGTGTGCGTTGGGGAGGACGATGTCCACATTAGTGGTCCAGGAGCGCCACCCCTGGCTGATATGCGCAAAGTCGACAAAGTCCGCTTTCTTGACTTCCCCATATCCCCAGCCAGGTTCGGCGACACTGTCTGTGAATTCACCCAGGAATTCAAGGCGGTGAGAGAGCAGTTGGTGGGTGATGTCTTATCGGCGGTCCGTAGCCCGCTCCGCCCGCCGTGCCATTCATACCTGCTCCTCGCCGAAGGCGTCCGCCTACGAGAGCTGCTCCGCCCCCGCACACGCCTAAGGCGAAGCGAGCGCGTCGGGCACCTCGGAAGCAGGCAGCCCCCCTGCCCAGAACGCCGCTAAGTCCGGCAACGGACCGCGAAGCGCCCCTGGGACAGGCCATCTGGAGAAGAGGGAACTTGCTCTTTCCCCGCTGGAGGGCGGGGCCCCATTTCCAACGGCACTTTTTACTGCCATGAAAACATTATGAAAGGGCACTTTTCACTTCCCCAGATGTGACAGTCCGAAATCTGCCAGTCTGGGACGCTATGCTTTCTAGCTTGCAGATTCGGTGCGTTTCGCCAGTGGCTCACGAGCGCTGGGAGGACGGTCTCCTTTCTCCCACCCCTCGAGCCTCCCCTCCGGAGCTCGGGTTTGGAGTGAGAGCAAATATCTCACCTCCAGCTTTTCCGTGGGACCCGCGAGCTTCCCGGATCAGCACACCCACTCCGCGCTGCCCCACTGCTGGTACGTCAGCGATTGTAGCGATGAGTCCATTAGCGAGAGCTCTGCCTGCCTGGTTAGCGCGGGCCAGCTCTTCGCGGTGGCTCATACGCACAATCAGACTCGGCTATGCGATTCAGTTCGCGAAACGGCCCCCCAAGTCACGGGTGTGTATTCACCAGGGTCAGCCCCCTGTCCGCCCCTGTCTTGCGAGAGGAGATTGCTGTCCTCCTGGCGAAGGATGCAATCGAGCCGCTCCCTCCAGCCGAGATGGAGAGCGGGTTTTACAGCCCACGCTTCATCGTGCCCAAAAAGAGCGGTGGGTCACGGCCAATCCTAGATCTGCGCGTTTTGAACCGCTGCCTGCACAAGCTGCCGTTCAGAATGCTCATGCAGAAGCGCATCCTCCGGTGCGTTCGTCCTCTGGGTTGGTCTGCAGCATTAGACCTGATGGACGCGTATTTCCATGTCTCCACTCTTCCTCGCCACCGACAGTTTCTGCGGTTTGCGTTTGAAGGTCGAGCTTGGCAATACAAAGCCCTCCCCTTCGGGCTCTCTCTGTCTCCGCGGGTCCTCACCAAGCCCGCGGAGGGTGCCTCAGCGCCCCTTCGGCTCGCGGGCATCTGCATACTCAATTTCTTTACGACTGGCTGAATTGCCCTCTCTTTTGATTATGCACAGAGTTGATTATGCACAGAGACAAAGTGCTCTGGCACTTCCACCTGTGGGGGTTTCAGGTCAACCGAGAAAAGAGCAAACTCGCCCCCGTGCAGAGGATCTCTTCTCTCGGGCTGGAGCTGGACTCGGTCACCATGGCAGCGCGCCTCTCCGGAGAGCGCGCTCAGCTGATGCTGTACTGTCTGAGAGAGCTCGACAGTAAAATAGTGGTCCCACTGAAACAATTTCAGAGGCTCCTGGGGCATATGGCATCCGCAGCCGCTTCATGCCGCTCGGATTATTCTATATGAGACCACTTCAGCACTGGCTTCACGATCGAGTCCCCAGACGCGCATGGCACGCGCGCGCACACCGAGTCTCTGTTACTGCGCTGTGTCGCCGCGCCCTCAGCCCTTGGAGCGACCCCTCGTTCCTACAGGCCTGGGTGTCTCTAGAACAGGCGTCCAGTCTTGTTGTCGTTTCAGCAGACGCTTCCAACACGGGCTGGGGGGCTGTGCGTTGCGGGCATGCGGCTGCGGACCTGTGGAAAGGTACCCAGTTGCATTGGCATATCGCCTGGAGCTGTTGGCAGTGTTCCCCGCTCTCCACCGTTTTTTTCCGGTGTTGGAGCGGCAACACGTGCTGGTCAGGACGGACAGTACGGCGGCGGTGGCGTATATCAGCCGTATAGGGGGTATGCGCTCTCGCCGCATGTCTCAGCTCGCCCGCCGTCTGCTCCTCTGGAGTCATCCGCGGCTGAAATCGCTGCACGCCATTCATATTCAGGCAAGCTCAACCGTGCAGCCGATGCGCTCTCACGGCAGCCTTGCGTCCTGGAGCATGGAGACTCCACCCCGAGTCTGTTCAGCTGATATGGGCGCGATTCGGGGAAGCCCAGATCGATCTGTTGCTTCCCCCGAGATCGCTCATTGCCAGTTGTTCTTTCCCTGACCGAGTGCTCTCGGCACGGATGCACTGGCTTACAGCTGGCCTCGGGGCACGCGCAATACGCGTTTCCCCCAGTGAGCCTGCTCGCGCAGTTACTGTGCATGGTCAGGGAGGACGAGGAACAGGTTGCTGGTTGCGCCCCTCTGGCTCAACCGGACCTGGATGTCAGAGCTCTCCCTCGCGATAGCCCTCCCCTGGCAGTCCCTTCGAGAGAGCACCTACTCTCTCAGGGACAGGGCACCACCTGGCACCCTCGCCGATCTTTGAAGAGATTTTTAGACGCGAGGAAGACTTAGGTAACCTCCGATTGCGGTGGCTAATACCGTCACTCGGGCTAGAGCCCCCTCCCCGAGCGCGCCTATGCCCTGACGTGAAGTCTATTCACTGAATGGTGTGTCTCTCGCTGAGAAGACCCCCGTAATTTGCCAGATCAGCGTTGTGCTTTCTTTACGCCGAGAGAAGTTGGAGAGCAGGCTGTCGCCCTCCACACTCAAGGTTACGTGGCTGCCATCTCCGCTCTCATAACGCGGTGGCTGGCAGCACCGTGGGAACGCATAACCTCATCATCCGGTTCCTCAGGGGCGTTAAGCGAATTAATCCACCCCGCCCCCTCTCATGCCCTCTTAGGATCTCGCCCTCGCGTCAGATCCCTTCGATCCTCGACTCAGTATATTTCTGTCCCTGAAGACAGCTCTGCTGGTCGCGTTGATATCGATTAGAGGGTCGGGGACCCGGAGGCATTTTTCGGTCAGTGACTCGTGCCTGTAATTGGGCTGGCTTCTCTCACGTATGAGACCCCGCCCGCGATATGTGCCCAAGGTTCCTACCACTCCGTTTTAATACGAGGTAGTGAGCCTGCAAGCGCTGCCCTCGGAGGAGGCAGACCCAGCCCTTATTTATTGTCCAGTTCGCGTTTTGCGTATTATCCGGACCGCACTCAGAGTTTAGATCATCTGAGCAGCTCTTCGTCTGTTATAGCGGTCGGCAGCAGGGAAGTGCCGTACCGAAATAAGTTCCCACTAGATTGTGGATGCCTTTCTTTCACTATCAGAGCCGAGATGAGCCGCGTCCCCCGAGAGCGCGTGCGCACTCCACTCGGAGCTTCGCATCCTCTCGAGCGCGCGCACGCGGCGCCCCTCTAACAGACATCTGTAGAGCTGCGGGCTGGGTGACACCCAACACATTTGCAAGGTTTTACAATCTGCGAGTGGAGCCGGTTTCCTCAAGGGTATTAGGTAACCCTTGGTGATTGAGGAAACAATTCGGTATGGTGTTGAAACACGCTTGCTGCGCCATTTTCCCTAACACGGAGATACGTGCGCCTTTTTATCTGTCAGTAAAGTTCCCCGTCAGGTGAGCCCTGCAGATTCCTCCATGGCCCCCAGCACTGACTCAGCGGAGGAGTCACTTGCTGGCCCACTACGTTGTAGGTCTGCCCGCTGGTCAGCCCGCGTTTTGGGTAAAGGTGTCTGCTATGCGTGGTCCCCACTAGGCGATCCCATATGCTTATTCAGCCACGGTTAAGTCCCCCCCCCCTGGGCGGACCCGTGTCTTCCCTCCCCGCTAACCACTCTTTTGCTATGCGTACTCCCCCTTTTTAGGGCTAGTCCATATGTAAATTCTGCCATCTATCCCCCCTTGGGTAACGGATGGCCTCCGCAGCGTCCTCCCTATCGGGATTGCACGCTTCCCAACGTACTGTCGTATTTCCTAGAATTATCTAGATGCTCACGACACCCCAAAAAATATATATAAATCCGTAAAACTTCTGTTGAAGTAGGATAAATTAGGGCCAGGGACACGTTGGAGGACCGCGCCCCCCATGATGTGGGTGCGTCACGCTTGCTTGACTATCTCCTCATCGGGGGTGTTGGTAAGGTGCAGTCATTATGGCGCTTTCAATGGGCTCCCAATGCGTGGATTTTACAATCAAATCCACTTATAGTGCTGAAGTTCCCCCCGAAGGGGAACGTTCGAGGTTACTAAAGTAACCCTTCGTTCCCCGAGGAGGGGAACGGAAGCACTATACTCCGTCGCCATAATGACTGTCCCTTAGCTGTTGAAAGTCTCTTCAGCTTAAAAAGGATAGCGTCTGCTGCGCCAGGTGAGCTTATATACTCAGTTGATTGCTTATGCCGCTCACCTGCGCAGGCTTGCGCTGCCAATTCATTCTTAATTGGCCCGTTCAATACTCTTTCAGACGAGTAGCTTCTGAACCGAACCTCCCAATGCGTGGATTTTACAATCAAATCCACTTATAGTGCTTCCGTTCCCCTCCTCGGGGAACGAAGGGTTACTTTAGTAACCTCGAACGTTCTCCCTCGTGAAGCTAATATGTAAGTAATGTGAAACTGCAATTCATCGAAATTCCGCTAGTCCTGGCTCCATAGTAGAGCAGATGTCTATTGACCCTACTGTTTAAAAGGCCAACTTTACAGCAGAAAAAAAGGTGTTTACAGCCTGGTACAAAGAATGATTTTGGTTCATAAAGCGATTTTATCCTTCATGACAACTGTGTGGGGCTGTGATTTTTATTTTTTTTTTATAACTCGTCCGTTTCATTTTTATTAAGTTATATCAAAGGTGCAGTAGGTGATCTTTCACAATGCTAGCAGCTTAGCATAAATCTCTGAATCACACTCCATCCCCTGCCGTCTAGAGCTACACCTCTTTAAATACGAGCACAGCAAAAGAAGCCTCTCTCATGTGTTAAAAGCGACTAGTGCTTGTCCGGCGGCGAGCAAGCCAAACTGACATGCTATTTCAGAGTGAATATTTAGAGTTGCATGGTAAACAATATAGGGAGAGACAAGGCAGAATAGCGCTATTTACCTGTGTTTTTTTTGTTAAACTAATTAAAATCTACATTTATATAGATGATGTAAAAGGTCCCTTATGAAACTGAAAATAGTCTTATCAATCCTTTTTGATTTTTTCAAAGATTTTAGTGGCTGAACAACACTTCTGTGAAGATATAACCCATTTGTAACAACATCTAACCTTACATCAGCTTTGTGTGAAGCTAAAATAGTTTTAAAACCAAACATTACCTGTCTTAGTGAAATCCTTCAGACATTGTTTCATCCTTTCTCCAGCATGCAAAGGTAACTCCAATAGATGCGTACAAACGGCTGCACAGTTGTTCAAATCTGCATGTGCTGACAGACAGTTTTGCCTACTTATCGGAATTATGAGAGTTGTTGGTCCGACTCTATTTAATTGTTTGAACATTTTTTAGTTTTATGCCTTACCCAAAATATAAAAATAGATATAAATACATTTAGATAATTTACTTGAATCATTACTATTGGACTGTGAAGAGACTTTCAACCAGCACAAAAAAAATGCTTCTGAAGACAATCACCTACTGCACCTCTAAGTCTTGGGTGACAACTAAGTCTCGCTGGTCGCCGTCATTTTACCTCAGCTAATTCCGACTTATTAGCCGCTGAGCTCGGCATATACATCTGTAAAGTCACGAATAAAACGTCCATATTTTTTACAGTCTATTATATACCCTATAGAAAATTGACCTATCAGTAAGCCCCGCCCCCTCTTAGTTACGGTTGCTAACAACTGCCTTCCAACGACCGCTGTCAGTGTGAAAAACTTTTTGTAGGTCTCATACAGCCCAGTCTCATGGCAGTTTTTTATATAGTCATTTATATAGTCACAAAATGAATCTATTGATTCGTGTTTATGCACTTTATTTTGAACACGCTGTCAGTTTAGAAAAGACATGCATATAGAAAAACACTACCTGATAGAGAAAATATCTTTTTCAGTTTGTAAACACAATCTAAAGCAAATTCTCACAACACATGTAAATGGAGCAACACTCTGCAAATAGCACAAGCCACAACAGAAACGTGTCAGAGGGCTCCAAAAATGGATGAATTAGTCAGTGTTGTTATTAATATTATTATTATTATTATTTTTAAATATCCTAGTCTTATGATTGTGAAGACTAAACATTAAGCAGCCTAGTTTCTGTATTTTCACGTGCTGTGAGAATTTGCACGCGTGCGTGTTGTCAAATTGATGAAGTTGTTTGTTAGAATTTTTCCATTTGCATGCATTTTCTAAACCTGCAGCAAATTTGAGCTCTCTCGGCCACCATATGTGTTACAACATAATGATTGGCATCACTTTGAGTGACATTAAATAGCAGAGTAAAAAGCATTGCTGATTTAAGTTACCTTAAAACAAACGCATGTACCCTTGTTGATCTTCTGAACAATAAGTTGCTTTAGTTTTAGAAAATTGACTAAAATCATTCTTATTGACCATCCTCTCAAGACATACAAAAAAAACTAATCCAAGTATTAAGCTTCAGATCTTCTCTGTGTTTTTCTATGGCAAAGTATTTATGTGCAACTAATACTCACCTGCCATTGGCTCATTGTGTTTGAGGGGAGGAGTTTACTGATTGATCAATTCTTCCTTATTTGTGGCACAACACAAGTTCTTGACGTTTTGGAAAGACTCACATGTGACTTCTTGTCTTTGCAGTCTTTTACCATGGGAATCCAATGCGGTGACATATCGCTTTATGGGTTCAGACAACTGCATGTATCCATTCATTGAGACCATGAAGAAGAGAGGAGGCAATAGCCCACTGAAAGCTGATTAACACAGATACGAATCCTGCAGCCACTGATGTGTTACATGTTGAAATTAACACTGATGTGTGGGTAAATCCTGTTTGAAGTAAAATGAAAATCTTTTGTTTATTTATTTAAAAAAAAAAACAATTCCGTCTGGTTATAGGATTTCTGAAGTTAAATTTAGGATACAAGACATTTTAAGACAATTATGAATGAAATTTTAGACTTCTAAAAGGCTAAACGCTAAGGAGTTTTTCAAATGTCCCAGGTAGAAAAGATTTGCCCTAACAAAAAAAGTGATTATAACTTAATAATACAATAATAAAAAATTAAAATACTTTCGATATTTCTTAGCAAAATATTTAAATATTGTTTAAAAATAAGCAAGCTGTACTTGTATCCACCCCCCCCCCCCTATTTATTTTTATTATTTTTTTTTTTACAACATAAACTTTATGTTTAAAAAACTATAATAAACTAAATCTGTTCACTACAATCTGACCAGGTCAGAGTCCGTAGCAGTAAATACATGAAACAAATATTAAGCCATTATGATAAAGAGTTAAAAAATGACCTTTTTAAAGGGCACTTAGGTTACCCCTTTTTTCAGATTTAATTTAAAGTCTTTTGCGTCTCTAGAATGTGTATATAAAGTTTCAGATCAAAATACCCATCAGATTTTTCATTATACCTTTTACAAGATGCTGTCTTATACTGATTTCCAGCAGGGGGTGGTTTTGTCGTACTGCGAAAAAGAAAAAAAAAAAAGAAGCTTTTTCTTTCCCGCCCACTGTTTCTACAAGCCTCCTCCCTCAGCTGCGTCAGACAACAGACAGACTTAAAGGAAGGAGGTCTCACGTAGTGTTTGTGAGATACTACAGTAAGAACTAACCTTTACTAATCAGTATTGTGAAGTTGCATTGATGAGTCACACACAATATCGTTACAAAGTTAACGCGCGCGCGCGCACACAAACACACACACACCCCAGATGATACACACACACACACGCAGGCAGGCAGGCAGACAGAGAGACAGAGCGCGCTTAGCCTAGTTAAGGCTAACCTCAAGTGTGGATATCTGTTATGCTAATGTACAAAATAAACCTGATTTAACTTCCACAAACCGGGATTGAAGCGTCTTCTTTTATAATTGTTCTGACACGCGGCTGTGCTGATGAAGTAAAGCTGAAGTAAAACGCTGTAATTAATTACACACATACTCTGTTTTAAAACACTTTAAACATGTGAAACTTACTCTTAATCACATTTGATGATGATTGCTGATCCTAGCGAACAGAACAGACCTTTTATTCCCGGTTGCTTTGCGTATGTCTGTCTGGTCTTGTTGACATATATAGTACACGCGACTACCGGAACATGTTAATGCACGCAGCTGTCAATCAATTCGGTGGGCGGGGGGGATCACACACCTACGTAATGGTGCGATCGATTTGAAAACAGCTCCAATTGGCCGACCCTTTTTTTGTAGTTAAATTGAAAAAAAAAAGGACTGGGTGTGTTCATATCACCCCAGTATGACGGTCTATACACTATACCAACACACAGATCTGTCCAAACAGCTTGAAAAGTAGATTTTTTACCATAGGTGCCCTTTAAGTAAAAAGTTTAAAGTTTTATTGAGATGTAATGTTCATAATTGTATGAGCTTTGGGCACATTGGGTAGAACAAAGGAAAATTAAGACCTGTTAAAAATATTTAAGACCTACAACATTTCATTATATTTCGGGAAATGTAAGATTTTTTAAGGCCTAAAATTTACATTTTCAGATTAAAGACATTCTAAGATTCTGGGTTAATCACTTATGAGTGGGCCTTTCAACTACTATTGAAATTCTTCACATTTTTAATGTGTGGGTTTTTTTAGACTATACAAAGCAAATCAATGAGCATAATACTTGTTATATATTACTAACTCTATTGGAAAATACGTACATGTATAATTCTTTTCTGTGACTTTCTATTACGTTGAATTGAGAAACTGAGTTGCACTTGCTGTTGTGACAATTAAGTTTAAAAAGAAAGTGTACTCACTAATAGTAAATGGTATATTCAAATTCAAAATTTGATATGGCAAGTATGTAATAGCTATCATTTTTCTTTAGAGGGAGGTTTTACTGGTTTAGATACCACAGACCTCAGACCATCTTAATTCGAGGGACCTCCATGTATAAAGACCCTGTTTCATTAAATGTTTTTTTTACTTCTAAAGTGTCTCTATTATATTATATATTATATTCAAAATCCTAATTTAGTTTCCAACAATAGGTTTACATCCATCAAAAGTATAAGGAAAAAAAAAACATTAATTGTCTCATCTTTGTTGCAGCATTATTCCTAAGAGAATATAAGAAATTTGGTCTCTCTGATCTCCAGTGGTCTGCTGTGATTGGTCAAGATGGCCCTGTCTTTTGTCATTGGTCAACCACTTGCAGTATGATGCAAACCAAATGGTAGGGCTGGGTGATATCGAAAAAAAAAAATCTCTATATTGTCAACCTTTTTCTGATATTCGTTATATATCCCAATATGTTTGCATTTACTTTTAAACCGCAGAAAACATGATTTTTTTGTGCCTCTATTAAAAAAATAACTATGTAGAAAAGCTTCTGTTGCACAAACAAAATGTTAAGTACAAGTTAAGGCAATTTAAACTGTTAATGCAAAAAAAAAAAAGTGTTCAGTTACCGCCGTATGGTTTAAATTTATGTCCATTTCCACTGTCAAATGTACATTAAAAGCCAACCGCTTCGTACCACTTTTTGAGTTTATCAATATGAAAGATATTGGATAATCCCACATCGCGTTGGCGAATCATATCGATATATCCCAAGAACTCCCAGCCCAACCAAACAGCTATGAACATGTCTGATATCAGTTTATCATTTTAATACCCTGACATTTCTAATTCTTCAAGTTCATAATTCTAAGCATTAAAGGTCATGTAAAGTGAGGAACAAAGTAGCTTCTCCCCTATAAAAATAAAAAAAAAGCCAATAGCGTTTTGCTTCGTCATCGCTCTGAGAGTGGTTGAGCACAACCGCATCAAATGTGAAGCAACTTAAAGGGAATGGGGCATATCAGACACTAGAGAGCATTCGGTTGGTCACGATTTGATGAGGAAACCGAAGTAACCGCATATTAAGTTATGACGTATCGGTGAGGTATGGTATACTGCTTCTGGGTCCAACCTGCTACTCATTTGAATTGAAAAAATATTAGTTTATGACCACTTTTTAAGTCATATCACACATTGAAGTTAATTTTAAATGGTGTGCACATCAATCACTGGACTTGCTGCATCACAATCACTTTTGAATCACTTTTTGGCCACTGGATATTAGGCATGGATATATATATTGTCATATATAGTGATGTTCTAAAGTATTACATTGCTTTGCAAACGTTTATTATTACCAATAAATGAGTCTCCCTATACAGTTTGATATAGCACTTGGACCCGGAAGCCGCTTCGCGTGACGTCACACTTAACAAGCAGATGAGGTGACGTAAATAAAACCGTGATCCATTTAGGTGGAATTGACAAAATACTAGCTTTACACGTTTGTATGTTTTATATCTCCAAAATGTGAATTGTGACTTTTGGCGCGCACTAGCTTATAGATATCCTAAAAACAAACAATACTGATACTAGCTTAAATTTATGGGATCTTTCACATAGCTCAAATACACACCGACACACTTTTATTTGTGCGAGATGCACAAAGTTTTTACTTATATTTTGAGGAAAACAAAATCCAACTGGCAGAGTGGACAGGGTGGACACGGACAGGAGAATGCATCAGTTTAACTGACTGACATGACTGAACATTAGCGTGCTTGAACATACATTCACTCGCTCACGCTCTCTCACACAACAAACAGAAAAAACACAATCACACACTCTATACTGAAGTCACAACAACACTTTTTCCCAGACCTACATGACGATGTAGTTGAAATTTCGTTTTCCGTATGTGTTATGGTCGTCGTCGTAACTCAAAAAAAAGCACTGGAGAAAAATCACCGCAGCAGAGACATGTATGAGAGCTTCATCATATCCTTCAATGGGGTTTCATACTGCACTTCACAACAGCGCTAACACAATAACCCAACTCTATGGGTTCACATAACACAATGTTAAAAACAAGAGAAAAATAAAAGCGTGAAAATAAAAAAAATCATGAACAACGAAACATAGCCGGTCTACTCGAGTCAAACTTCACGATAATCTTTTTACAATTTAACAACGGAAAAACAAAACCTCCACTTCAATGGATATGATGAGGCGACTATTCCAAAGCGGTTAAAATGTATCGCCGTTTGCGTACAATTAAACAACTACGATATATCTTGACCTTGTTTAAATGAGTTTCATACTTCATTTAAATTGGGAATTGAAGACTTGTGTTTATGAGCAGCCGACAGAAACTCTGCTTCTGAATTTTCTCTAGTGTTTCGCAAATAAAATGACCACTTCGATAGACAATTCTAGGCTGTCCCATCCAGAGTCTTTCCCATGGTGCTTGAGTTAGCCGGTTTTAGTAATGCGTCACCCTCTAGGTCCTGTTTGGTGCACCTTTTGGGGAGAGACGGGTAAGACATGTAATGTAATGTAATGAAAAGCTATTATTACACTCTTCTTGGTCATTAGCTGAGCTCTTTTGAGGGTTAGTTCACCACAAAATGAAAATTCCATCATCATTTGCTCAGCGTCATATGTTGTTTTCAATTCATAAAACATTTTTTATGTTCAGAACAATCTAGTATTCAGATTTTTTTTAGGTTTGGAGCAGGATGAAGATGAGTAAATGACAGCCATTTTCATTTTTTGGTATGAATTGACCCTTGATCTAAAGTTCAACATCTATACAACTTACGGTTGCATGATACTGGAATTTGATACCAATAAATACTGAAATTTTAAAAACGTCCATTTCCTGCTAACATTTAAGCGCTACTGAATACTTCCTTAAACAGCGCTGATTTGCCATTGTGTTCACATGCTCAACAGAAATGACTGTGATTGGCCATGAAGGTCATCAGTTCAATGAACTCACTGCTGTTTACTGAGTGTAACTACAGATACACGGACATTGGAGCGTTTTAAAGCCGCAATTCAACAGCGGATCTCTCATATGTCAGGTTACAGACAAACCAACTGATCGACGTGACTTTGAAACACTCCAGTGTCCCTGTATCTGTAGTTACACTCAGTAAACAGCGGTGAGCTCGGTGATTTGATGACCTTCATGGCCAATCACAGTCATTTTTTGTTGAGCATGTGAACACATCGGCAAATCAGCGATGTTTAAAAACGTGCTCAGTAGCACTTAAATGTTAGCGTCAATAAAACTTCAATACCGATTGGTCCCGAATTCCAGTATCGTGACAACCCTAATACAACTAGCTTATATTGTAAAATGATTAATACATAAAATACTTGTAGGCATGAGACTGACCCTGACATTGGTCCATTAGCTGTGCGCTCATTGGACTGCTGGTCAAGTTCTGACAGGAGCTTCAGGATGTTCAAAGCAGCCTGTGAAGACAGGAAAAGGCATTTTAGCTAAAAACATAAGTAGTTGAAAACAAATGTTGAACAGTTCCATTGTATTGTACAATTCGGTACACCACAGGTCAAGTTTTAAAGTGCTAATATTTTTAAAAATGTTTCTGAACTAAGTGACACCAAGTGTACATTCAATTTTAAAAACTAAATGTTATCTTAAGAGAGAGAACCTAACCCAAAATGCAATTCGAAAGCTTAAGAAAATGGAAAACAAAATGGGTAGCATCCTTTTTAACGACTTTAAATAAAACTATAATAACAACAACAGTTTATAAATAAAGGGTTGGCATTAGGGCTGCATGAATAATCGGAAAAAAAAATTATGTTGATTCGACTCTACACACGAACTTAATCCAGCAATTCTACGATTCCGCCAATTATATTTTCATAAAAGGCAGTCGCACAAGTCTTCACATTGTTTTATATACATTACTCAGCAACACGGACACCTCGAAATAGTGTTAAAATGTTTTATATTGTATTTATAAGGTATAATTTACCCAAAAATGTCAATTCTGTCTTAATGTAATGACGTATTCGCAGCCACAAAATCACACGAGCTGATGCACTGTTCATTAACAACTAAGAGGACGTGCACATGGTCGCAAATGATGTCTTGTTTAGTAAACTAAACCTGCATAGGTTGTGAATAACTGGTAATAAATTTGTAAATAACAATCAGTTTGTTAAACAGAATGGTCGTATGGGAGCTGCACGGGAAGTTTGATTTGCATGCATGTTTTTTTTTTTCTTAGAGTGACAGCAGCCATGACATGAGCGCACTTGGCAGTGAAAGTGAAAGACCGCACATCATTTATATGATCATATCACATTTTAAAGTTATGATTACGACAAGCATTGGATATGATTTTTCTTTCATAGCGAACACAGTGTTGTGCATGATAATAAATGTGTACCAGTGTCAGATTAACTACTCTAGCCTGTTGAATATAATGCAAGAGGCAATCTGAAAATGACAAATGTCTCATTTTACCAGTGAAAAAAAATGGTCTCAATGTTGTCAATGACAAGCACAAATCTCAAACATAATATTTCAACATCAGAATTATGAATAGTTGTATTCTATATTCTATTCTATAGTTGTCCCAGTTTTCCCCACAGTCCAACGACATATGCTGTAGGTGAATTGAATAAACTAAATTGGTGTGTGAATGCAAGAGTGTGTATGGGTGTTTCCCAGTACTTGGCTGCGGCTGAAAGGCCATCCACTGTGTAAAACATATGCTGGAATAGCTGGTGGTTCATTCTGCTGTGGCGACCCCTGATTAATTAGTTTACCCCTTAGTTTTATTTGGACTACGCCGAAGGAAAATGAATGAATTAAGGAACGTCTTTTTCAGTTCATAATATTTGACCATTAGTTTTTCAAGCTACTTGTATTCAGCTTAAAGTGCCATTTAAAGGCTTAACTAGGTTAATTAGGTTAAATAGACAAGTCATTAGACGACTGGTTTGTTTTGTAGCCAACCGAAAAAATGGGGCTGATAATATTTAATAATCATTCATTCATTTATTTTCTTTTCGGCTTAGTCCCTTTATTAATCTGGAGTTGCCACAGCTAAATGAACCGAAAACTATTCCAGCATATGTTTTACGCAAGGATGCCCTTCCAGCTCCAACCTATCTCTGGGAAACATCCATGCACACTCATTCACACTTATACACTATGGACAATTTATCCTACCCACTTCACCTGCACTGCATGTCTTTAGACTGTGGGGGAAACCAGAGCACCCGGAAGAACCACGCAAACACAGGGAGAACATGCAAACTCCACACAGAAACACAAACTGACCCAGACAAGGCTCGAACCAGTGACCTTTCTTGCTGTAAGGCGACACTACCTACTGCGCCACTGCGTCGCCATAATATTTAATATAAAAATTATATCTATATTTTTTAACTGCTGATGTTCCAGTCAAATTAAAAGAAATGTGACTTTCTCCAGAGGAAAAAAAAATACTGTTGAAATGTCCTTGGTTCTGTAAAACATCTCTTGGGAAAATTTTGAATAATGATGAAAATGTTCACAGGAGGGTTAATCATTTAATCATCGACTGTATAAAGCTTAACATGATGCTCACCATGTCATGGCAGGACTCCACGTCCTTGCCGATGCCGTGGCTGATGAGAGGAGGCTGAGAGGAGCAGTTGATCAAAGACACAAACTCGTTCTTGTTATTTTTGGGAAAGTCTTTATATTCAACCTGTGCCAAAACAAATCAATAAATCAAAACATGTTGGGTTGATAAAGTGTATTTGCAGACATATTCAGTACCTGTAAGCCCTGTACATTGGCCAGGTAGCTGAGCTGTTCAGATGGTCTGGTCAGGGGCCCTTGGGGTCTGTGTGCCAGGCTGTTGTTGGTCTTCAGTATTCCCTCAGCGGTCGGGGAAGTGCCAGCGTACAGCAGCTCATTGGCAATCATGGCCGTCACTGTAGCGTTGGCTGGGTTTGGGGCAGCTGTGCGACCGTAGTCTTTGGCATGGGGACCCTGGTTGGCACCCACCGCCTGTGCTACCTCAGGCACCATGGGTAAAATGCCAGCCGGAAGCTGCTGATGGCTGAGGAAGGGAAGGCGGAAATCCTCCTCCTTACTGACCACTATAAGGAAGATAAGAGTTGGTCACAAGCAGGAAATCTTCACTAAAACGTGTATGAAAAATGACAGCAAAACACATACCAAGACCAGCTTTCTCCATAGATCCCGGCTCAAAAAAGGTCACTTTTCGTCCATCTCCAAGTTTCTTAGCAGGCGGCTTTACAAAGATAAAATGTATATACACTTAAAGGGACAGTTCACTCAAAAATGAACATTTATTTATTTACTCATCCTCTACTTGTTTCAAGCCTGTTTGAGTTTCTTTCTTCTGTTCAATACAAGGGAAACTGTACTGAAGAATGTTGTGAGAAAAAACAGCCATTGACTTGTATGGTATTTTTGTTCATACTATGGATGTTAATGATTGTTTTGCTGTTTGGTACAACGTGAGAATAAGTAAATAATAAATTAAAAAAAAAAAAAAAAATGTTATGTGGGGATTTTAGAACTTAAAAATGTGCAATTTTCAAAATGTTCAAATAATAATATATTATAATTAGGAAAATCAGTTCTTTGTAACTTTCTTTACATTTATTTAAAAAATATTTTTAGATAAAAGTTTTTTTTTACATAAATATGGCTATAAAGTAAAGCATAAAGTAGTTTTGTTTTGCGTTTGCATTATTAAACACTAAAATAAAATATAAAATAATAAAATATTTTTATATTTTAATAAAATAAAATAAATTAATTAATTAATAAATAAATAATTAAAATAGAATAGATTAAAATAATTTTTTTCAGTGTTGGTGAAAGTTACTTTTGAAAGTTTTAATGCATTACAAGTGTGCCTCAACCCCTGGGCTGCGAACCGGTACGGCTCTTTGGATCAATATGTACCGGCCTGCACAAGAAACCATTAAATATTTCTGTTTTATTTATTATCCGAGTCAGAAGGATCATTTATTTAAAAAAATGACTGTATTCTCGGTTACATCTTGGTCACTCGAGCTCCCCAAATTTAACTCACAAGCTAGCAAAAGGAGTAAGAAACAGATGTCTTTGGAAAGTTTCTTTGTGAAGGGGAAAAGGCCAAGTGAAGAACCCATGAACTACCAAGGAATAGATCCATAACCCATTTGTCAACAAATTAGGTAAATCCAGCATGTCTGTGCAAGAAGATCAACTGCTGGAGATGGCAAATGAAGGTGGCTGTTCATACATGGCGTTTCTTTCCTGCATCCAAGTTCGTTATTTCCAATGGAGGCGCACATATCTTCAAAATGCTACGAGCACACAGCGAGTCATGTGATAAGACCTGACCAATCAGCTTCATATTTTGTATGGAATATAGACATTTAATGGTCGCCAACATTTTTAATTTTAGTAAATATAAAATAACTAATAACTAAATAAATAAATACCGAACATTTAAATACATTAACCATTAATATGTTAAATAGAAATGTTAAAAATACATTTACATTTGGTGACCAAGTTTATATTTCGGTTTCTACTGCACACCTTAAAGAGAGAGAATAACAAATTGAAATCCCATCCTCTACTTTGGAGGAGGGATTGAGCCGTATTCACTCTTGCTCTATAAATGTAAGACTACAGCTCATCCAATTTAAAGTGATGCATAGATTACACTATACTAAAGCCAAAATTAATAAGTTGTATACTTTTATCTCTCCTTTGTGTGATAGATGCAAAGGCGCAATTAGGACCTAAGGTCATATAATTCTGTCCAGAAGTATCTGAATTTTGAAAAGGTATCTTCGGACTTTATTTCCAGGCTTTTAAAACGGACATAAAAATTGATGTGGAATTAGCATTATTTGGATGTTCAGACCAGGATCTAACTTGGCCTAAACAACAACAACTCTTCCTTATGTTTGGCATGTTGCTGTACAAGAGAGTAAATCTGATGGAGTAGAAATCCACGCCACTTCTCACTTCCCACGCCATTTTTTTTTCTTTTAATGGTTAGGGGAAATGGTTTCAGCCCTCAAGCTGGAAAGGTTACGTTTCTCTAGATTTGGAAACAGAAGATGTATGATAAAATATGGGGCCCCTTCCTAAGATGTACATGTTAATAATGTCTCTGTAATATTTTTACATGTCATTCTATTTTGTTTCTTAAGGCTGATTTATACTTCTGCGTCAAACGCCGGCGTATGCCACAGCGCTGACGCAAAGCCCTTCGCCGTGGCCGTAGGCGTCGCTGACGTGCACCTCTCAAAAAATGTAACTACACATCGCAACGATGCGTAGCGCAAGCTCTGTGATTGGTCGGCTTGGTAGCGCTGACGAGTCTGGGCAGGACCGAGAGCCGCGTGAATGGTTCAAGCCTGATGGAGCGATTGTTTACAAGTGTGGAGTCCCATGAAGGAGCTCCGGATGGAAAGATTTGTTTTGTGTTTACCTCAAAGTTAAAGTTGTTGCACGTCCGCTGGTTCCTGCCACAAAATGAGCAAGTTTGAGCCACTTGTACATCCCTGAAGTGTTCAGGAAAAGCAAAACAGCAGCAAAGAAACTCGACACGGAGGAGCATTAACACCTCACTGCCAACTAGCGTTTCAGAAGTGTTAATGCAGACCAACAGAGACAGTGCGCAGAAGTATAAATGCACAGCTACACGCATTGCATGCGAAGTGGGTTACGCCGCTTACTTGACGCAGAAGTATAAACCAGGCTTTATTCTACTAATCTGGCTGAATTTCGTTTTTAATGGTGCTGTATAATTGCTGTATTGTGAGTTAAAGTTTTGGTGCACGTTCTAGTCGGTATCATGTAATAACACTGAGATAGTTTGTTAACATATATACATTATGCACACTGCAGGGTATTATGTTTTCATAAAAACTTCTAAAGTAAAATAAATAAATAAAATACATTGTGTCAGGCAGGAAGTCCATCGAGGCCCTGGACTCCGCAGAGCAAACAAACACTGGTAATAAGCAGACACTCACTTTCTCATCAGTTTTCAGTGCCGGTTTGGGAGGTTGTGGCTGAGGCACTTTGAAGCCCAGAAGTTCCAGCATTTTCTCCGCTGCATTTCGCTTGGCCACTTTTTTACTAGGTCCCATTCCCTCAGCATTCTGACCCGCAACTGATACCTGAGTGAGAAAAAAAAAACAGAAAGCAGCACAGGGACGCATAAGTCTTCCAGGAACATTTTTTGAGAATAAACAATTTTGCGGCATGTAGTAGACAATGACAGCCAGAAGAAGAACATGGCCTTCATACGCAAAATGTGCAGTGATGCACTGTAAATGTGCTGAGTCAGAGAGTGATGGAGTACCTGCATGACAAACTCTCTGCGCCGAGGCAGTCCTCGCTCCGTTACTAAAGTGTACTCTGGCTCTTTTTCTTTCTTGGCCTGCTGGATCTGAGCCAGTCTGCTGATGGGGTTCATGCCCTGACCGTACTCTGGACTGGTCTGCAGCTGAGAGAGAGAGATTGTAATAAAGAAAATTGTTTTCATTCTTTTCCAGATAAATTTAGTGCATTTTGATATTGGGGAATAAACAAAGACAAATTCGTTAAATCAGAATTGATCCATTCCTGTCCTCGCACCCCCCACATTCAGTATGATTCCTTTTTACATTAGACTTTGTTCTAATTCAACAACAAGTGCCCTGCAAAGTGGACTCTGCAAGATGTATTCATTCAAATGGCATTTTAGTGTGTGGTATGTGAATTTATATTGTTTTTAATTACGGAGGGACAGTTGAAGTCAGAATTATAAGCCCACCTGTATATTTTTGTCCTCAATTTCTGTTTAACGGAAAGAACACATTTCTAAACATAATAGCTTTAATAACTCATTTCTAATGAATGATTTATCTTATCTTTGCCATGATGACAGTAAATAATATTTTACTAGATATTTTAAAAGACACTAGTATTCAGCTTAAAGTGCAATTTAAAGGCTTAACTAGGTTAATTAGTCTACAAAAAAAAAAACACTGTTATAAAATGACTATCAAAAAATATTGCTCAAGGTGACTAATGATATTGACCTTGAAATGGATGTATTCCAGCCAAAATTAAACAAAAAAGAAGAAAAAACAGGAGAGAAAATATTATAGGAAATACTGTGAAAAAATCATTTGGCAAACAACAGGAGGGCTAATCATTTCGACTTCATTTGTACAGTATATTATGTCACACTTTAATTCTTTTCTAGTAAGGCTGCAGGCAATGCCATAGTGTAAATCCACAAATTAACATTCTGAAGAGAAATAAAGGCTTCTTGTGCTCAGGTAGAGAGCAATGAAGGAGAACGGGCTAGGGATGAAAGACACATCCCTACGCAGTGCACAGTCAAAACACAGTTCAATCATGGAGCTCTATCTAAATCAGCTGTGATAAATAAAAGAGACATGCGAAAATAAATAATAATAAATGGTCTGCATTGTTAGCATCACATAATTTCTTGATTTGGGTATATATGAATAAAGATATGAATATCTCAGGTACACTGTCATACTTAAAACATAAAAAAATAAACTTTTTTGGTTCTGTAACACCTTTTGTTTTAAAAGCTGTTCTTTGCTCATTTCTATTAAATCAAAGATTACATTTACTAAAAAGAATTAATCAGAGTTTTAACAAAGTGATGAAGCACTACAACAGTTTTACAAATTGTATAATAATAAAACTGTTTCTTTAACAAATCATATATATATATATATATATATATATATATATATATATACATACACACTTTTAAAAAATATTTTTTAATCACGTGACAATCAAGAATTATAATATATGTGAATAAAGAATTCTAAATACATACATATATATATATATATATATATACATACACACACACACACACACACACACACACACACACATATATATACATATATATATATATATATATATATATGAATTATGAAGAATTATAAAATATACATGATATGATGATAAAATGTGCAAATTATGTAATATGAAAAGCATGTTACATTTTAAATAGGTTTATCAATCAAAATCTTTTTTTTTTCTTTTTGCAAAGATGTGAATGATTTCAGAGGTTTAGAGCCAGTCATCCTCAAACTGAATCGTGCTTTACCTTAATTATGGACTTGCTTTTCTTCTTAATGCGTAATGGTATTTTGTCAGTGGCAGGAAGTTGAGGCAGTCTGCGCAGCTCCTCCAGGACGGCGATGGCAGCTTGTTTCTTTGCAATCTTCTTGCTTTTGCCTTCACCCTCCCCTGCAAACTCACCTACCACTACCCTCACCACAAAACTCTTCATGTGAGGAGCCCCTGCCTCTTTTAGCACCTGTGAACAATGGCAAGAGTAAAAAAAAATCAACTTCTTGTACCGTCATTACAAAACTCACTTTGCATGTTTTACATTTATCATTTAAATACATTATGAGGGGGGGTGTATTTTTGTGCATTTCTAGTATGGCTATGTGTCATAATATGGCTCAATATTTGAGTTATGGCAGTAAAACTGCTAGTACATGGCAAGTTCCTATTTTTAGGGATTAATCAATTTAAAAAAAATTAAATCATCTCTTTCTGAGTGGATCTGTGAATCACTGACTCAAACGATTGATTGAAAAAACAGATTAATTTCAAAATTTAACAGCAGTGTTGCTCTGATCTGCTTGTGAAACTTTTGGGACAGCGGGGAATAAACAAGTCAGTAAACTTGCTTTAGCAATGTAAATTTACCAATACACATTTTTAAATTGGGTGAAACCAAAAACGCATGCTACAACAGTTTAAAATATTCAGTCGGGCCAATAACATGATTGGGCAGACTTGATGGTATTTCAATTGGCTCAACACATAATTCCTCATTGAGCCAATTCTATCAGGCTGTTGCTACAATTGAAAAAAAAAATCAGTTTGCTGAATTTCATTTGAGCCCAGTGTTAGGGGTGTTGCATTACTAAGTAACGCGAGATACATAATAATACTACTTTTCTAGGTAACAGTCAGTGTGCTGTTAATTTCAAAGCTCCTCTATTTAAAAAAAATGTTCCCCCAACACTGGGCCAACTGAAAAATGTAGATGTGACCAGTCACTAGAACATTGAGCTTGGGCTTTAATTTTTTACAGTTTACACAAACACTAAAACTTAGTAAAATGAGTAAAAATTTAGTAAAAACTGAAACTAAGGGTGCTTTCACACCTACACTTTTGTTTAGGAACGTGTCACGTTTGCCCAGTTAGCGCGGTTCGTTTGGCATATTTGAACAGGGCAATCGCGCTCTGTTCCGCGTCAAAGTAATCGCTCCGAGATCACTTGAATGAGGTGGTCTCGGCTCGATTGAAACGAACCCTGAAGCGGTTCGATTGCAGTGAGAAAGCGATCCGATCCGAGCGCGGTTATATCACAGTGTTTTATGGATATGTAATGGGCTTACGGCTATATGAAGAGAGAATTATGAGTATGGCGGGAAGTTTCGCGAGTCTCCGGATGCCCGCAAACGAGTGATGATCTCCCGGTAATCTCGCGTCTCCCTCCCGGTCCTCAAATAGGCATCGTCGAGCACCCTTCTCACCCCTCCCCACCGCATCTCTCCTCAGACACGTCGCGCGCGCACCCTGTCAATCACCACCAAACCACCACCTCTCCTGACAGCTGAGCGGGACGCTGCAAAATAGACCCTGACACTCTGACCAATGTAAGGAGAGTTTACTCGCACGTGACTTGTTTTAGCTCTTTTGGTCCGATTAGAAACTTTGCAGTGTGAAAGCAAACCGCTCCAAGAGCAAAGAGCAACAATGTAACAATTGTAATCTCTGTTTCGGAACAACTGAATAGATTCACAGGTGTGAAAGCACCCTAAAACGGAGTAAAAAAATTTTCCCATTTGGGTGCACATAATCAATTTAGTTCCTCTGAAATAGAGCAGACCTGAACCCGGAGACTTTGTCACAAGATAATTTAGATGTCACAAAGCCCATTTTAGGCCTGAACTCAATGTTGAGCAAATGCATACTTGCTGCACTTTTCCTTTGTACAAAAGCTTAAAGGGTCACGAAACACCAAAACACATTTTTTGAGCTGTTGACAGTCGTATATGTGTCCCACACTGCTAAAAACACTATTAGGACACCTATATTTCACTAAAAAGTGTAAATTGGTTGTTGTGTTATTTCAAGCAAATTCGTACTTCCTGTTTGAAACGAATTTTTGAAGCTGCGTCACGGTCATGACATAATAGCCTGTATTCCAGCGTGCAGACTGGGCGTCTGTGCCAGAGTGAGTCTTATTACGTCTTACAGTGTGATGCATTAATGCATGAGTAAGGCTTGGTTCAAACCAATCAGCGCGCTCTATTGTGCAACTTCATTAATATTCATTACTGTCACAGTGTAGACGGCAAAGACGCCACGTTGTGTTGGCAAAACAAGCGTGAAGTGTTGCTTTTATAGTTTGCTGCAGTTAAATTTCATTTTCATTTTCTCTCTGTGAGAGCGCAGAGTCACGTGTGGATTAACAGTGTACGCGACGCGTGACAACAACAACTTACGTGTCTAAGGAGGATTATTGTTTACCTGAGAGCTGTTCTCATCTGCAAACGCTGATATCCAGATTCGCTTGTAGTCTCTCTAAATAAAGACGCGGCTCTAGTTGCTGGTGATTGTCCTGTCTCTACAGATTTGGTAAGTGAGCGACCAGTGCTCTTTGTTTATTCAGTTCGTATTTTATTCGTATCAAACAAACTATTGCACCGAGTGCAATAGTTAGCACTAACAGTTACAACCAAACTATAACCTCGTGTTGGATTTTGTGACCGGAATAACACACGCGGCTTTCTGACGCTACCTGCCGTGTGTATCTAAGTTTTCGGGAAATGCTGAGTTTTTTTTTCTCTCATTCGCCGTGCGGTATCAAACATTGCATGAAAAATACACGCTTAGAGCAGCGCCTCGAATCAAATATCACATTTGTCGGGAGGGACATTAATGAATTCCCTGAATAAAAGAGCCAAACTGCAGTTAAAGTCCACCATTTAATAATTTGGCAAATAATTCGACAAAGATGTCCATGTAAACAGTCACATTGTCCGCTGTGGGTGTGTGTTTTGACTCTGAAATTCAGCGCGCCCAAATAGAAACTCCCATACCAAGCCGCTTTTCCTCCTCCGACACTCCCCCCTAAACAGAGCTGGACACGCCCACTTTTCTGACTTTTTCCAAAGTAGAGGTGTGAAAACACACTGCTGAAACGAGGGGGTTTCATGGCCCTTTAAACTGTTGTAGTGAATTACACACATGCACACAGATATGAGGAAAATGGAACTCCTGCTCATATAATTCAGCTTAACTAAATCATTTTGTATAATAACTATAAAATAATAATAAATATACAGACAATAAATGTTGCACTCCCATTATTATGCATGATGGGATCATACCTCAAAGTCCACAGGCATGTTGCGCTTTAATGCAATCTCAAACACTTGGCTAATCTCTGATTTGTTTAGATTTTCTTGTGCTGGCTCGTCCGTCATCTACAAGGTAAACACAACATGTTTGCTAAATCACAATTTAACAAGATGGATAAGATGCATGTATTTTCCTTGTATATTCTAATACATTTTCAGGAAATAATTAAACAAAAGTTGCACAGGCTCAGAATTGCAGAGAAAATACATTTTCACTTAATTAGTGTATGAGATGGATTTTAGAATTCCATTCAAAAACAAAAAGTAGGCAAATACAAATGTTGAAAATGTCAAAAAAAAAAAAATAAAAATCAGTTCAACAGCAGACAACTGAATAAAAACTGCATGTATACAACAAACATAAATTATACTCTAAAAATTGCTGGGTTCCACAAACTTCCCTCATGTTGTGCCAACACAAATAGATTAAGTTAACCCCCATTTACGTTATCCCAAAAAAATCTCAAGAATTGCGTTTCAGCACATTTTAACTAAGCAGTTTTAAATCTTTTCAAGTATACACTGGTATCTATTTGAAACAAACAAAAATTTAAAATAATTATTAACTTTTAATTTAAAGGGAAAATGAAACAAGCAACGCACATGAAGTGTATATTACAAATACTCACTTTCCCCTCATTTGGCACCAATTAAATTGCTTGTCTGCTTTGGACATCCGTTTCCTGCTTGACTTTAAGTTCATTATACTTCTAATTCACTTTGTAATCGTTTCAGCATAAATAATACATTACTTATATTCTGGAAAACACCTTAGATTAGGTTCAAGCTCACAAAGCAGGGGTCTGATTTATAAAATATGCATAGAGCAAGAAACCTTCCTAAAAGTGAACGTACAACAGAATAATTATGTATTTGTTAATGAATATGGCTCATACAATGATTACAAGTGGTTCAGTTTAGTCAATGTTTGAGTTTACTTGGGTGGCACTGTGGCTCAGTGGTTAGCACTGTCACCTCAAACCAAAAAGGTTGCTGGTTCAAGTCCTGGCTGGGTCAGTTGGCATTTCTGCGTGGAGTTTGCATGTTCTCCTCATGTTAGCGTGGGTTTCCTCCAGGTGCTCCGGTTTTCCCCACAGTCCAAAGACATGCAGTACGATGATTTGGATTAACTAAAATTGGCCGTAGTGTGTGAGTGTGTGTGTATGTGAGAATAAAAGTGCATGGGTGTTTCCTAGTACTTGGTTGCAGCTGGAAGGGCATCCACTGCATGAAACATATGCTGGAATAGCTGGCGGTCCATTCCGCTGTGGTGACCCCTGATAAATATGGGATTAAGCCGAAGGAAAATAAATGAATGAATAAGTTTACTAAAATCTAAGCCCATTCTCCCATCAAGAATGTTTTTACATCACAACTTTTGTGTGCGCACATTTCCGCCCTATTTTTGATGTGTGCGCCATGTTAATAAATGAGACCCCAGCTCATTTCGTAGAATAATCCATTAACAGCATGTAATGAACATGACCCGTCTCACCTCAGTTATTTGCTGCAATATTGGCTCTTTCTGCAGGTATTTGATAGCTTTGGCTGCAGCGTCATGTTTGGCGGCCTGACGTGTGCGGCCCTTGCCATGAAACTGTTGACCACCGATTGACAGCTCCATATGATACAGTACTGGCCCCACAGGAGGAAATGGGTAGTAATAACTGCTCAAAAACAAAAGACATGCCTGTACATCAATCCTACTGCATTTGTGCTAAGAGATTAATCACTGGCTATCACACAAGACAAAATGATGTTATGCTTTTAGGAAAACTGAACAGATTGGAATAGAAAGTACATACTGCTGCATGGAGCGTGCATACGGGCTTGGTGCTCTGATGTTGTAGTTAAATGCTGGTCTCATCCCCTGGTAGGCATCTATAGGTTTATAGATGGGCTTTTTGCCCAACTTCATACAAAGTGCATTAAGCTCCACAGTGTGGGTTACATTATCTGCATGAGAGAGAGAAGCATGTCAAAGAGCTGCTTGCTTATTTATAAGGGTTCAAACTATTACAGTAATGTTAGAGAATACCATTACAATTTGTAGATAATTAAATTTACATATAAGCTAATTCAATTCAACAATCTTTCTAATGTGGTGAATTGGTGATCAAGAAAACCGTATTATCCACTTAAAGTTATAGGGCTTAAAAGCATTTCTTTAAAACAGATGACTTTTATTTGGATTATAAATGTCTTTACTGTAGTATTTGTTCAAATTTATTTGGGATTAATTTAATCTCTTTAAAAAAATGTACCACAATGTACCAATGTTTTTTTTTGTGATAGCAAAGCTGAAATTTCAGTATCCACTATTAAGCCTGATTTATACTTTCGCCTGGTGCCGCATCGAGCACCACCACTGACTGTGCATCCACCTCACAAAACGGCCAAGGCTTTTATACTTGATGCATTTGCTGTTGTGATATTCTTTAAAACAACAGGGGGCAGTCAAAAGAAACGGACTGTAAAATCAGACGGTTAAACAGAGAAGTAGAAAGTTTCCGGAACTGCGTCATATCATTAATATTGTTCAAGATTATTAATAAATTATTTTAACGATTATAAGCATTTTTATAACCGTTCAAGATTTTTTTTTATTTAAATTTGATGCATCACTTGCTTTCGTTGATATCTTGGACAGTTCAACCTTCAAACCTTCAGTTTAACCAAAAAAAAAGTACACTTTCTAAAATATCTAAAAAAAGTAAAGACTTTTTTTATTTAACCCACTTAACAATTCACACATTACTGTCTGGCTAGTTTGTCCTCTACCTTTAAGCTAAAAAGGCAATAAAGGTCCAAGATTCCTGACCATTATCACCTATAAAGCCTAAAAAAACAGGCATCCGTATATTGTAAACCAATCGGTTTAAATATTCCTTTCCAGTTATCAAAAAAAAAATAATAATAAAATTAATGATGTAACTTTATTTTAGCTTAGTAAATATTACATTGTTCTAAATTATAATATATACACATCAGTGTAAAACTTATGAGTGGTGGAAAAACATAATCTGTAATTGTTTGATAAAACCATCTGGGTCTCCCCTTTAGCTACGGCCTCTCTTTTTGGTTTTAACAAACTTATTCTTCAAGTTTTTCTAAACTTTTTAACAAATCTTTCTTCCTTTCCCACTGCTGTTGCAATTTCTAGCCAAGAATTATTGGTCATCCGGTTCTCCCTATAATCAAACATGGACAGACTATAAAGATATCTGTACAGTCGTACCTGTTTCAGACAAAATCTCTTCAAAGTGGTTCAGATTCAACTCAAAGCAAATGCGGCGCGTGCAAACTGTTTGTTCGAGTCTCAAAAAAAATCTTGCACTTCGCCAGCCAAAAGCATTTCACACGCACCCAAAGTGAACCTCCGCAAACACATTGATGGCGTCACATTCACTGCACGCACTCAAGCGAACTAGCGGACGCGTTAAGTATAAACCAGGCTTTATGATCACCTCTAATATGCTAATCTGGTGCTCAAGAAAACATGAGGAAAATGTTATTACAAAGTTATTACAAAAAATGGTTATATTACTACTACCAATGTTAAAATTGTTGCTTACTTTTATTATTCAATCTTAGGGCGTACTCTCACTAGTTACAGTTTTGATGACTATCCCAAATATACGATACACTGGATGTTTAAAGATGCATTCAATGTTAAAATAAATGAAATTATTATGAATGATATTTTTGAAGTCTCTAAAGCAGATCCTGTAGTAAACCCTGCTTTAAAGGTCCCATGAAGTTAAAATAAAGGTGTTAGTATCAGTATTGTTCATTTTTAAGGTATCTACAGTGCTTTCGGAAAGTATTCAGAGCACTTCACTTTTTCCATATTTTTTTTATGTTAGTCTTATTCCAAAATGGACTAAATTCATTTATTTCCTCAATATTCTACACACAATACCTCATAATGACAATTAAAAAAAAAGAGTTTTTGAAATTGTTGCAAATTTATTAAAAGTAAAAAACCTGAAAAATGACATGTACATAAGTATTCACAGCCTTAGAGAGCCATAGAGTGGCCAGACAGAATCCACTCCCCACCTGGAATTTGCCAAAAGGCATCTGAAGGTCTCTCAGACAATAAGAAACAAAATTCTCTGGTCTGATGAGACTAAAATTTAACTCTTTTGAGTGAATGCCAGGCGTTACATTTGGAGAAAACCAGGCACCGCTCATCACCAGGCTAATACCATCCCTACAGTGAAGCATGGTGGTGGCAGCGTCATGCTGTGGGGATGTTTTTCAGCAGCAGGAACTGCAAGACAAGTCAGGATAGAGGGAAAGATGAATGCAGCAATGTACAGAGACATCCTGAATGAAAACCTGCTTCAGAGTGCTCTTGACCTCAGACTGGGGCGACGGCTCATCTTCCAGCAGGACAATGACCCAAAGCACACCGCCAAAGTATGAATGGATTGGCTTTACAACAACTCGGTGAATGTCTTTGAGTGGCCCAGCCAGAGCCCGGAGCTAAATCCTATCAAACATCTCTGGAGAGATCTGAAAATGGCTGTTCACCGTCGCTTCCCATCCGACCTGATAGAGCTTGAGAGGTACTGCAAAGAGGAATGGGCAAAAACGTCCAAACACTAGTGTGCCAAGCTTGTGGCATCATATTCAAAATGACTTGAGGCTGTAATTGCTGCCAAAGGTGCATCAACAAAGTATTGAGCAAAGGCTGTGAATACTTCTGTACATGTGATTTTTCAGGTTTTTTTGCAACAATTAAAAAACTATTTTTACACATTGCCAATATGGGGTTTTGTGTGTAGGATTTTGAGGAAATAAATGAATTGAATCCATTTTGGAATAAGGCTATAACATAAAAATGTGGAAAAAGACAAGCGCTATAAATACTTTCCGGATGCACTGTATAATCTTTTGCACAACAAATTAGTGAAAAAATTGAAGAAAAAGAAAATAAAACTAATATAAACATGTAAAGCGTGTAGTTTGTCACCTCCCCCTAAATAGATCAATAGTTTTATTCACGACACCTCATACTTCAGTTCTTATCAAATCGTGACCAATCAAATGCTCTCTAGGATCTGACATTCCTCATCTCCTTTGATGCGTGATGAAGATTTGATGCTTTTGATGTGCTTAAGCTTAACAACTCTCACTGGCAGAGCAGTGATAAAACGCTATTGGCTGTTTTTTTAAAGGGGAGGAGCCACACTATGTCCCAGCTTCTCTTCATGTTTCGGTTGAGATTACAACACAGAGTAAAACCGCATATTTCAAAGCACTTCAGGAGACCTTTAACTTTCAATACAGTTTTTTTCTCTCTTAGGATTTCACAATATAAGGATGAGAATATTTTCACTTAATAAGATAAAATGTAATGATTAGACGTACACTCTGAGCCCTTGTAGATCCCACCTGGGCTCTTACCGGGGTGGCGGGGGCTTCTGTGACTGGGTTTGGGGAGAGTTGTTTGGGCGAGAGCACTTGATGCTGCAGAGTGCTGCGCTTTTTTAATACTGGTCCCCTCTGCGTCCCAATGCTGATCCCCCAGAGTCAAGCGCACTGAGAAAATCTGACCAACACACACCGTCAAAAAGTATTAACAGCTGGGAAGGGAGGGTTTAGTGTGATTTTGTCTGTAGAAAAGTGTTAGGTCTTACCTTGGAGTGGGCTGGTCCTTCTTCACTGAGCAGCTTGTATTCAGGTTGGATCTTGTTGTAACGGGCTAACTCATTTACTAAACACATTGGGGTCTTCTCTTTAGGGTTTGCCATGTTAGATACTGGAATACAATATTAAAGTACAAATGAAATCAAACTACCTATATGATTTTCTTAGCATACATTGCTAGTTTTGTGTTGAACAATTCATCTGGGCATGTCCTTAAGAAAAAAATATGTTTGCCCTTGTAATCTAAAATTGAAATCTGAAAATGGACTTCCTGTTTTTTTTTCAGTTAAGTTGTCAGATAACGCATGTCTTAGGTATTCAACTGTCAGTTTTGACAAAAAACAGAAATAACTGTTAGGTTGTAATCATAGATATTTACTTTAGATGTCACCTACGCTGTTGTTGTCTATTGGAAGTAATGCGTCAATGGAACCGCCATTTTGGTACAGAGTAGCGCTCCTTTGAAATTAATTTGTTTTTGTTTCCTGTTGTACATATTGAAGGGGTAGTTTATATTGCTATGAAAATACTTCAAATAATAGGCATAATAATTATTGCTCTGTCCCAACCAATTGTATTGTCCCAATAGCGTAAGAACAGCAGCAAGCAGTTTGGATAAATTAAGTGACTTTACTGGCAACTGTTCTACTCAATCTTTCAAAGAGGGGAAAAGTATGTACATATTCACATTTACTAGCATGTTCAATTCAGCTAGCTGTACAATTTTACTAATGTGCATAGTTTTTATGCAAATCTTAATAAGCATATAAGGAAAATTTATTAAATGAGACCATTTAAATCGAATATTAGCTAAATTATCATATTTGTTACACCACCATTAAACGTGTAAGCCATGAAGACAAAATACAATCGGATTATAATTAAATGACCCTTGAATATTTACAAAAATAGAGCTTTAGTAAAAATAGAGCACTTACAGGCATTTATTTCAATGTTTAAATTAGCCGCAGAATTAAAACGCATGTGTGTTATCCGCTTGTTAAGTGTGACGTCACGTGAAACGGCTTCCAGGTCCAAGCGCTTTGTTCAACTGTATGGGGAGACTCATGAAATGGTAATAATAAATGTTTACAAAGCGATTTAATTCATTCGAAAATCACGATCGCAATATATATGTCCGTGCCTAATATCCGATGGAAAGAAAGTGATTCATTTTTTTATAAATTGTAAAAATGTTGGTATTTGTTATGCAGCAAGCCAAGAGATTGTTTTATACACTATGACTGTAAAATTAACTTTAATATGTGATATGAATAAAAAGTGATCATAATCGAATGATTTCTCAACTTAAATGAATGGCGGCTTGGACCCGGAAACAGTATTACATATGTCACCACTTAACAAGCGGATACTTGACCACGCACTTAGTGAAAATGAAAGTAAAACTTATCTGACTGTAGTACTGTAGTACTGTAGTACTGTAGTAAATGTCAACTAGGTGGCGGGTCAAAACCACAAGTGGCTAGATGAGACTGCACAACAATGATAGTAGTTCAAAAATATATGTTCTGGCGGGCCAAATATTGTTATATTTTTGACGCCAGTTGCGGGCCGGATGGAAGAGGAGAGCTTTCCGTAAATGGCTTGCAGGCCGGCAATTTGGGACCCCTGATATAGATAAACTATATTTTATATAAAAGGCACCAGCAAAATTGCTCAATTTAACTAATTAAAATGAAAAACAAATACATCAAATTGAAATGAACACATAAAAACTTTCTTTATAAATAAAATGCTTAATAATTTCTAAAACAGCACCGTCACTCACCTGTAGGGTTACAGAAGGGCGTGGCTGAGGCAGAAGGCAGAGCGGAGTTTCGCAGTGGGTGACTGGCACTCTCTGAGGGTAAGGGGGCGGTCCCACAGGGAATGCTGAACCCAGGTTGGGGCGGGGCCAGTTGTAAAGGGGCGCTGCTGGGTGCAGGGTTGCCAGGCGCTTGGAACTGAAGCTGTGACATTCTGATTGGCTTGTAGAGAGGTGGGTTGATTGAATGACCAGATATAAACCTTGCAGTCGGGAAAGAAGTGAATATTACAGAGAGAGTTGTGTGTGAAAGAGAGAGAATGAAGATTGTGGGTTTGTAGAGTGAAAAACGACTGCAAAGCTCTACCTACAGAGACAAAAAAATGAAAATGATAAAGATTAGAATGAGGTTATGTTTAATCAGTTGACAAAAAAATTATTCTACATTTGCATTTCCAAAGCAAATTGATTATATTAAAAGGTCTTATGAAATTAAAATACATTTCTTCAGATTTTAGTATCAGTATTGTTCAGTTTTAAGATATCTATAAGCTAGTGCGCAACATAACAGTGACGAAATTAGTATTTAGGAGATATAAAACGGCTATTAACATGTAAAGCTTGCAGTTTGTCACTTCCTCACAAATGGATCAACGTTTTTTTTCACGTCACCTCATACTACAGTTTCTAATCAAATTGGGACCAGTCAAATGCTCTCTAGTGTCTGATATGCCCCGCCCCCTTCAAGATGCTTCACATTTGATGCTCAACCACTCTCACTGGCCAAATTCCAAAATTGCTAATTATTTTATCTAATTTGTGTACTTTCGGCAATATACATTAAAACTTTATTTCACCTATTCTATAAATGCAAAATTGAATTACATTTTAAAATGCTAAATTCTATAAATGTTTTTTTTTTGTTCTCTTTTCTATTTTTTTGTTACTGTACTTTTTCTTCAATGAAGTGATGTTACTTTTCTTGTATAAAAAAAAAAGCTTTGATAAACAAAAACGCTTTTGGCTGTTTTTTTAAGGGGAGGAGCTACACTGTTTCCACCTTCTCTTTATATTTCAGTTGAGATTACATCAAACCAGTAGTATCTGGATGCAGCCTTTATGATGCAAGCTGAGATTGCATCACTCAGCGATGCAATGTCAGTCACAATGCACTCAATAGAGTAAGTGACGTCACTGTGACGTGTAGGGTTAGGGGTGGGGTTAGGTGAGCGCATTAAAAAGCATTGGATGCAGCTCAGATTGCACTGCACCAGGTCTGCATCCAGACCCCTCTCCATCAAACACTAAATAAAAAAATGCACCTCACAAGACTTTTAATAGAAGATTTGGTGAATGTAGACTGTAGAATTTGACAAAGAAAATAGAAAGCTTAATTTTGACTTCAATACTCAAACCTAAATGTTAACTTTTGTTTTAAAATAATGCAATATAAACCTAATTTAAGTTAGTTAGCAAGAAATTGTGAAATAATGCGATCATTTTTAATACTCAAACATGTATTTGACAGGATTTTAAAAAAGGATAATGAAGTAAACATTGCTTCAATAGCTAAATGTTCATCTTTAAATATAGCTAGAATTATAGACTAGTTATTCTTACTCAGACTTACCAAAAATAATCAAATAAAGCCAACCAAACACAAACTAATTGTAAATTTAGAAGTGTGACACTGTACCACAAAACCTTCTTATGTTGCATGGGTATATTTCTGACAATAGACAAAAACATATTGTATGTGTAAAAGAAATCCATAAAAGCTTATTTATTTCAACTTTCAGGTAATGTTTAAATCTCATTTTCCACTTAAGACTTTTTTTTGTGGTCCAGGTTTACAACGTTGAGAGCATGTTGATAGAAGCATCAAATGTGATATTGTAGACTTTCTAGGGTTACTGCAATGATGGCAAATATCAAGACGGAAAATCAACATATTAAAGTAACATGGCAACCAGCTCTTACTGGCTGACAGCTTCAGGAAACCTGATCAACAGCACAAAAAGAAAAAAATACATCACCTTGCAATAAAGTTGGCAAAATACAAAACACGCATCAACACTGCACACTCGATCAGTGTCATTAAGTTAAACCGATTATTTCGCATATTAGCATTAGCACAGGCTGAACATAATGGGTGTTTGCAGTATAATATCGCCTAGTGTATACTGAAGTATGAAATGTATACTAAAATAGCTTTTAAAAAGCCAACGCAGAAGCCGGTTATGTTGAAAAGAAAAATAAATATCAGCTGTCAGACTCCTCCTCCTACCCCTGCAAAGCAAAGTATAAAAGCCGGCTAAACAAACACGTTATACATTTAACAAGCATGATAACCCTAATCAGTCAAAATATTATTACATATGCATCTTGGTTAGAAAGCATCCATGGCACTAAGCGATAAAATCCTCTCAGATCAATATGAATGGCTCGAGCTAACGCACTAGCAGCTCGCGCATCTCAACAACTCCGGCTAAAAAAAGCTCACCTCGGTTTTATTTCTCTCCGGCTGTGATTTACTCCATGAGATAAGATGTTAAAGCGTAGTGTCTGTTCGCTTTCGTCCTTTTTATAGGGGTTCTAGAATGGTTTAGTATGAAAATACGGGGAAGAGGTAGAGAGGGTGAGTGTGGACAGGGCAAACACTAAAGAGAATAGCCCGATATTTTCCGCCCCTGCCAGGAAATGACATCATGCCGCCCGTTTGTGGGGTTAAAATTGTGAAAACGTTGTTTTTAATGGTTAACAATAACATTAACGAGCAGTTCTGATATTTAACAACTCATATTTAAAGGTAAACTGTATTTGCTGAGGTAAATTTTGTGGTTAATAAGCGGGCCTTGTGTTACAGTGGTGGCGGGTGGAGGGGCTTGAAACTCAATCCTCTCACAAACATGTTTTGGACACACTTGAAGCGCACTTTATCCATCTGTAATGCCGTTTATTGGTGTAATTGACACAGTTTTGTCTTTTTTTTAATGCAGCAGTGTTCAATAAGCAACAGTTCACACAATTTTTTTGTATGTACACAGTGTAAAAATAACAAATTGCATTATCATTAAAATAAGTAGGAGCTCATGTAGTTTTACCTCCGTATAAAAAGAAAACATCTTTATAAAATGCTACTGTGTTCTTCAACAACTCATATTAAGCATTTTAGAATAGTCATAGATGTAAAACTTTGTGAAGACTTGTGATGTAGTATTCATAAACTCAACCTTAATTGAGGTAACAGTCCAAATGACAAATATCAAATCCATGTTAGTTATGAATTAAAAAAGTGTGACTTCTTTCCAGGGCTCCATATATATATCAAAAGAGGTGGGAAAATGTTTATTTTTCTCTTCACACACGCATTTACACACACACAACTGATAGATATAATTATTGCTGAAGCACTTTTGCGACAGTACATTAACACTTGATCACATCTTGAGTCATGATGGGAAAGATTTGGTTGGAGAAAAGTCTTGCATAAATTAGAGTCCTGAGAGTTTAGGGTAAAAGGTAAAGGTTTAAAGGTTGTACGCCTGTCGGATGTTGAGCGTGTCTTTCATCATCAGGTCTCGGAGTCTCCATAAAGCATCGGCCATCGTGGTGTGAGCGCCTTTGCTTTTCAGCCAGTGAGTAGGGAGATGACTCTCCTGTTCCCTACTAAGCCGGCAGTCTTTTCTCTGTGCTGAAGCAAAGATAACCAGAAAGATAATCATCACAAAGTTATGTTATAATAGTATCCATATAAAATAATGACAAATAAAATAAATAAATGCCAAAAAAACACAATGTTAAAGATGTTAATGGCAGTAATGTCATATGTCAATGGTAGTCTAAGAACTAATGCCCTGTTTACATTGGCTAAGACGCATTTTTGTGGGACAATACTAAACACAGGTCTAAATGTTAAGACTGGACACTTTTGACCACTTCAAATGATAAAAAAAAAAAGAACTGATTTGAGTGGGTTGCTTTTGTAATGTAAATACTCAAGCCACTGAAGACCACCTTGTGTCCATGAACTGACCTAATTATTAAACATAACATATCCCAGAAGTGTGCAAGCCGGATGAAATTTAAACTTTGCTGTTTGACATCTTAAGCTTGGTCTGAAAGCAAAAAAAAGTAAAAATCACAATGTTTTCTTACTAGTATACTGGTTCTAACACAAATCAAAACAATTCTAGTAGTTTTGCAGTTTACAGAGCATATATTGCTTTCCGTTGTCTTCTTTCACGTTCTTATGTAAACTGCACAACCTAATTTTGACTAATGCTAAATTTGAAAGTTCAGAAATAGCCCAGTCACCCATCCAAAACATAAAAATAAAAAATATGTTAAAGTGGGCAAAAGAAATGCATTAAGTGATGTTTCACAAAATGAAAAAGCTGCGGTCACACACAGCATTTTTCTCCTTATAAACTTCCATTATACGCACGTGAATGCGTCAAACCGGAAACGCTAGCTTATGCCAGTGGTTCTCAAAGTGGGGGTCGGGACCCCTTGAGAGGTCGCGGAACAATGAAGGGGGGGGTCGCCTAGTGATTTCCAAAAATCTACTTATTATTATTATTAGGCCATAAGAATTACCATATTTTATCCATAACCAACTGAAGAGAAAAAAACAGTTGTTTATAGTTACTATAGTAGCTTATTTACTAGTTCTATTGGATTGCGACCCCTGGGGTAATTACATTATATTAAAGACAATAGCGTCAGATGCAGCAGATTGATTTTATAACACCAGGTTAAACTTTCTGGCCCATTTACAGCACTGACATACAAAAAAAAAAAATTTAAACGAAGAATAGACTTTGGTCTATTGGTGTGTGTGTGCGCCATTGCATGCAAGTTTTCTGTATTTATAACCACCTCAGAGGATATTGGGGGTCACGAATCACTGGTATTGTTATTTTAGGGGTAGCATGCTGAAAAGTTTGGGAACCCCTGGCTTATGTGACACAGTTCACTGCGTAGGAAAGTTCAAGCTTGGTCAACTCTTAGCTGCGAAATCGCATCACATAATTGCGTGAGACCAATCAAAGATCAAAACATGACCTATCTCGGCAGAAAATTAAAACATCCAATCACTCGCTTTTTTTAATGGCTAATCATCGTGTTTAATCCCGCCCCTTTTCACACCGCCATACGACAGAATGTGAATGAGCCATAATTTCGAGAGAAGCATGTGATATGATTGATCACGGCTGGTCTCTCATCCATATTCATTAGCAAGCCAATCAAATTATTCCAAACTTAGAATAAATATCCCATCTAGCAATCCTGCTTTATCTTCGTTTTTGATGAATCTCCCCGATCCACCCCATCTTCCCTTTCCCCGTTACCAGGGGAGCTCTCGAAAACTACCTGATCTCGTACCCCCTTACGCGTTCATTGACCAGGCAGAAGCCCTAGGATCAATTATCTCCAAGCTCAGGGTTCTCTCCCAGGATAAGCTTGCCAAATCTGCTAATATTATCAAGCAATATCTAAGTGTGAACTCTTGAAAACACCAAGTATGAATAGAAATTTAGAATCAATTAAATGCATCTTCGGTAAATAAAAAACAAAAAAAAACAAAAAAAATTAATAACCCTACATATGCAAACTCGTTTTACCCTTAAGGCTCTGGTCCCATTTGCTAACTGTGGAGGATTCAGCACTGAGGCCCTCAATGTACTTCAGATACGCCTCTGAATGCAGGAGACGCTGGGGTTTTGGAGGCGGAGCAACAAAAATAGGTGGGGCTGGCTGTTGATGGCCTGGTTGACCTTGACCTGGATATGGGGGTGGAGCTTGCTGTCCTGGTCCATATCCAGCCATCTAAGAAGACAAAAAGTAGTAAAGAGATTACAATTTGCATCTGCATTAGCATCACTTCTGAAAGCTGAAAAAATATGATCTTAACCTGCATGCCATACGGGTTTCCGGGACCAGGGCTTCCATTCATTCCTGGGACCATCACACCTGAGAAGGAATGAAAGAAACATATATTTTTAAATATGGAAATGTAGTATGACTAAACAAGTTATAAATAATGCACACTGACAGGATAAATAATGTTTTTTTATTAGATAAAGGCACAATATGTAAGATTATTTCATTTAAATATCCAAAAACCACAAGATCAATGCTTTTGTGGATTTACGTAGCTATATTTATCCCAAATTTTTTAAAGAATGCTCAAATCTAGAGAAATAAGCTATTTTAACTAGTGAAAAAACAGTAATTTTGTCATAATGCTAATGACATCACACCCTCAGGGAAACACCAAAGATGCTTTAATATGTCATGCATTACATTAGACGGAGCTTAAAATGTATTCAGCATAAAACGATCACAATCGGAAGAACTGAAGTGGACGACTGTGGAATAATAAAATATCTACCTCTTTTCGCTCACTCGTCTCATATCTGCAATTGTTCAGGCTCTTGTTTTGCTTTGTTGAATTTCAGCCTAACTCTGCTTTATACTACCATGATAAGAAGCTGTGAATATGTTTTCTTGTAGGTCTTGTAGAATGTAATGACGACAACAACTCCCATGATTCCACACTCAGCCACAAGGCCATCAAATTACACCTTTGTAAATAAAAAAACACTGACAGCTAATGCCTCATTCCCACTAGCAGCGACTTTGTAGCTGCCTGTCGCTCTGGGTGACGATCTGCTGCAAACGTAGGTCTGTTAAGGTCTACAGCACAGAGAATACAAACAGCCTCTGAGCAACCTGAGAGAGGATCACTTAAGAGTTGCTCTTCATTTGCATAAAGTTAAAGGATTCTCAACTTTTCCCGCTGCTCGACACGCCCACCTGGTCGACTGTTGCTCGTGTAGACGGTAAAGTCTAGATCGGATACACGGCCGGCCGGAAGTGCGATATGTACATTAATTATAGTCGCATTTTTATGACACTGTATAACAATAATTTATATTTTTAAAATACTGTGACGGTTTGGTTTAGGGTTGGGGTGGGGGTAGGCTTTAAAAAAAATACAATTTATAGGGGAATTTAATAGATAACAAAAATAAATCGGTACAACTACTGTTTTTACGTTACTGTGACGGTTGGGTTTAGGGTTGGGCGTTGGCATTAATAAAATACAATAAATGGGAAATTTAATAAATAATTCTTGTTAACTTCCGGCCGCAACCATATCTGATTTAGCAACAACCCACCTAGATGGAGGTCACTGTTCACTTGTCGTTGCGAGCCACATGCCAACAAAGCCATCATTTACACCTTTGTTTGTTGTAAACACGCCCCCTCTAGTGGCAAAAATTACATAGTGTGCCTTTAAATTATCACCAAACAAAAAGCTTGTATTTGTATAAAACCAAGGCCCTGTTTACACCTGATTTTAAGATGCATTTTCATCAGTCTGAATTTTCTGAGATTGTTTAGCTTCAAGAAATTCTTTGGGTTTAAAGCATTAAGTCCGTTTGCTTTTATTATGCAAACCTTCATGCGAAGCCATTTGAACAGCCCCTAAACCACTCCTCTCTGCATACCGACTGAACATGCCATCATTGAGAAGTTTCTAGAAAGCATGCCAAGACAGGGTATGCATACCTAACTGCACTTTAGCAAAACAGATGGACTACGATTTAAATCATACTTGCTAACAACAGCATTTTCATTCACTTGCTTTCCTACTCTCTTCTAAAATGCATAACAT